TGTGTGTGTGTGTGTGTGTGTGTGTGTGTATGGTGTTATGTGTGTGTGTGTATGTGTGTGTATGTGTATGTGTGTGTATGTGTGCGTGCGTCTGTGTGTGTGTGTGTGTGTGTGTGTGTGTGTGTGTGTGTGTGTGTGTGTGTGTATGTGTATGTGTGTGTACTCACCTAATTGTACTCACCTAATTGTGGTTTGCGTGCGTCTGTGTGTGTGTGTGTGTGTGTGTGTGTGTGTGTGTGTGTGCGTTGTGTGTGTGTGTATGTGTATGTGTGTGTGTGTATGTGTGTGTATGTGTATGTGTGTGTGTGTGTGTGCGTGCGTCTGTGTGTGTGTGTGTGTGTATGTGTATGTGTGTGTGTGTATGTGTGTGTATGTGTAGTGTGTGTGTGTGTGCGTGCGTCTGTGTGTGTGTGTGTGTGTGTGTGTGTGGTGTGTGTTGTGCGTGCGTCTATGTGTGTGTGTGTGTGTATGTGATATGTGTGTGTGTCGTGCGTGCTGTGTTGTCTGTGTGTGGTGTGTGTGTGTGTACTCACCTAGTTGTACTCACCTAGTTGAGGTTGCAGGGGTCGAGTCCAAGCTCCTGGCCCCGCCTCTTCACTGGTCGCTACCAGGTCACTCTCCCTGAACCATGAGCTTTATCGTACCTCTGCTTAAAGCTATGTATGGATCCTGACTCCACTACATCGCTTCCCAAACTATTCCACTTCCTGACTACTCTGTGGCTGAAGAAATACTTCCTAACATCCCTCTGATTCATCTGTGTCTTCAACTTCCAACTGTGTCCCCTTGTTACTGTGTCCAGTCTCTGGAACATCCTGTCTTTGTCCACCTTGTCAATTCCTCTCAGTATTTTGTAAGTCGTTATCATGTCCCCCCCTATCTCTCCTGTCCTCCAGTGTCGTCAGGTTGATTTCCCTTAACCTCTCCTCATAGGACATACCTCTTAGCTCTGGGACTAGTCTTGTTGCAAACCTTTGCACTTTCTCTAGTTTCTTTACATGCTTGGCTAGGTGTGGGTTCCAAACTGGTGCCGCATACTCCAATATGGGCCTAACGTACACGGTGTATAGGGTCCTGAACGATTCCTTATTAAGATGTCGGAATGCTGTTCTGAGGTTTGCCAGGCGCCCATATGCTGCAGCAGTTATTTGGTTGATGTGCGCTTCAGGAGATGTGCCTGGTGTTATACTCACCCCAAGATCTTTTTCCTTGAGTGATGTTTGTAGTCTCTGACCCCCTAGACTGTACTCCATCTGCGGTCTTCTTTGCCCTTCCCCAATCCTCATGACTTTGCACTTTTTGGGATTGAACTCCAGGAGCCAGTTGCTGGACCAGGTCTGCAGCCTGTCCAGATCCCTTTGTATTTCTGCCTGGTCTTCGATCGAATGAACTCTTCTCATCAACTTCACGTCATCTGCAAACAGTGACACCTCGGAGTTTATTCCTTCCGTCATGTCGTTCACAAATACCAGAAACAGCACTGGTCCTAGGACTGACCCCTGTGGGACCCCACTGGTCACAGGTGCCCACTCTGACACCTCGCCTCGTACCATTACTCGCTGCTGTCTTCCTGACAAGTATTCCCTGATCCATTGCAGTGCCTTCCCTGTGTGTGTGTGTGTGTGTGTGTGTGTGTGTGTGTGTGTGTGTGTGTGTGTGTGTGTGTGTGTGTGTGTGTGTGTGTGTATGTGTATGTGTGTGTGTGTGTGTGCGTGCGTCTGTGTGTGTGTGTGCATGTGTGACCTTGGGAGAGCTAGTCACATGAGCGGGACTTCCTGGATTTCCTACTTTATTTCTGCAACATTAATTAGAAGCTCTTGATGTGTTGACTGGAACTCGAAATGTATCATTCAACTTTCCCTCTGCTTGCTTTGGATATATGTATATATGCAAAAATATATACATATATGTGTTGCATATATATACATATCGGTAATCAGGTTAGATTCATGGACGAGGAAGGGTAGTTCCAACACCTCGAATCAAGAGCCTCTCGGTAGCACGAAGTTCTCAGCAACATTTTGTAATTACTTACCTTACAACTTTTTTTCTCGTGTTCCAATATTATTCTCGTGTTCCAATATTATTCTCGTGTTCCAATGTTGTTTTTGTTCCAATATTAGTTTCGTGTTGCAATATTATTTTTGTGTTGCAATATTATTTTCGAGTTGCAATATTATTTTCGAGTTGCAATATTATTTTCGAATTGCAATATTATTTTTGTGTTGCAATATTGTTTTCATGTTGCAGTATTTTTGCAGTCATTGACCTGTCTTCCAGGTAATATATTAGCCAGTATAATATTGCAAGCGGGCGGGAGCGCACGCTCGCTCTCTTCCCTCTCTAACATTATCAGCAGAATTAATTATCAGACCTACAAAGTCACTCCAGTTTTTGTGCTGATGACAAAAATCAGGAACTCTTTGACTTGTAAATCATGACGGCCATATTGGACGGGTATCCTGTTAAAATTCTATTCATAGTCTATTTCAAGTCTGCAATTTCTTGTTTAGGGGGGATTTGGTTATTTGGGTTTAAAGCCTATCGACTACACGAGGGCCATTAAGGCTGCGTTTAATACGTTCAGTACCAAAGCGAGGATGCTTTAATTCATAATTTTTTGTTCTTATAGGATTGTAGAGAATTAGAAATATAATGTTTCCAAGCCCCCCCCCCAAAAAAAAAAAAAAACTGATATACTGAAAATTTTTGGTTTTATGTTGTTTCTAAGTTTGACGAGGTTAATGAGTCTTCAAACCGTGGAAAAATGGTATGGTAATACCGATGAGATGGGGAGTAAAACACTTATGCACAGTTCAGGACATTTATTAGAGGCAACGTTTCGCCACTAGTGGCTTCCTCAGTCCTCGTGGCTTCTTTTTAAGTATACCATGTACATGTACTTGTAGTAAAATAAAGATATTATTATTATTATTATTATTATTATTATTATTATTATTATTATTATTATTATTATTCTCGTGGAAACTAATTTCCCAAAATTGTGCTGTGTAAATAAACCTGATTAAAAGTGTATTTTAAAGAAGTGAACCGACAGGGAGGCTCTGCGCCTGCGCTGACGAGCAGGGAGAGTCGCCATTGTTTTTTGAATGTGGTACAGGCACGCTAGTGTAATGCATAATTTTCGTCGCTGTGGGGGTTATATTGGGCTTAAAACCTCTCAAATAGGAGCCGAAATTGTTGAATTTGCAGTCCTGCATAACGTGAGCAGTAAGCAGATGGACAGGATAGCTCCAGGAACCTCAGATAAGATGTCTATGTTTATGTTTAGAGTTCTGGCCAGTAATTTTTTCTTAAATGTAGACAGGGTTTTTTTTTTGGGTGATACACAGTAATCTCCAGACAAATTGGTGAGTGTTATGATTATAAATTCTCCTTCTGTTGTATAAATGTGTATATGTAATCCTTTATTAATTTTAACATACAGTCCACAAATTTATAATAATGTTTACCAGAATTCCTTGTGATGTATATTTCATTTGCAATTAATATAGGTCCAGAGCAACTTGTGGACATGACAGTTGTAGGTATCGAAGGGGGATATTTTTTGCAACCTAGTTGTCCCAATATTCCTACTTGTCTCTGTAACCTTGATAAATAATAATTATCTTTGTTACCATTTACTGGTATGTACCTTATGAGATACATCCAGGTAAATGTAACTTTCCACAATTATTATTATTATTATTATTATTATTATTATTATTATTATTATAGTTCGTACGGCCTTGTTGCAGAACCGGTCATATACACACTGATTGTTTTCTTCTCTTGGCAAAGTTCTCGCTGCACACAGTGAGGGTCTGGGTTCGATTCCCGGCAAACCCGGCAAAAGGGTGGAAACCGGTTGTCCATGTTCACTCATCAGCAAAATGGGTACCTGGGTGTTAGTGGGCTGGTGTGGGTCGCATCCTGGGACAAAATTGACCTAATTTGCCCGAAATGCTCTGCATAAGCGGCTTTCTGTATCGTAGTATGTCATTGATGTCAGCTAAAACTGTATACTTTGTACTTGTACTTGTAGAAATATATTTTATTATTATTATTATTATATTATTATTATTATTATTATTATTATTATTATTATTATTATTATATTATTATTATTATTATTATTATTATTATATTATTATTATTATTATTATTATTAATATTATTATTATTATTATAACGTATTTTCACAACATGTAAGCATGAGACATGTATGTCAGCACATACACACAATATATATATATATATATATATATATATATTATATATATATATATAAAGATATATATCGTGCCGAATTGGTAAAACTGGTCAATTAGCAAGAACTCATTTAAAATTAAGTCCTTTCTAAAATTTTCTCTTATGCGTTTCAAGACATTTTTTAATTTATATTAATTAAAATTTAATAATTTTGTTCCAAAAGAACCTTAGAAAACTTATCTAATCTTATTTTAACAGGCGCAGTTTAATTCAGCATAATCCAACTAAATATATTTTACATAAGTTTACAATAATTTAATAATAAACAAAGAATGAAATATATCTTTTTCGTTAGGTTCAGAATGATTTTTGCGAAATTACTGCATACACAAATTTTCGCTTGCCTTATTCGGCAAGAAGAGCTTTGGTATTAAAGCCAAAATCGCAAGTTTTATGTATTCGGCACGACATAAACCACAAAATGTGGTTTATGGGATTCTGTGGAGAAGTTTTGTCTTCCTATAGTAATGTGTTCATCTGAACACATTACTGTACACCATCCCGGGCTCATGTCTACACCACACATCTCTCCACTATACACACTCTCTACCCATCACTGTGGGAATTAACAACCCCCCTGGTGGGCGAAACGTCTCAATAAACAGCCATAAACCACCCACACCACCTCATTAACGAGGTATCATACCTTCCAGGGGCGGCGCCCCCCACTCCTACACAATATACGAATATGAATTCGGAATAAAATATAAAGATAATGAAATAACCCATAAATAAATATTATTTTAATATAACAATTAATCGAAAATTAAACATATGCAATAAAAAGAAAGAAATAATAATTTCATTTAAATATTTTAATAATTATTATATAGGTTTTTGAGAGCATTAATTATATATATTAAGTTACAGTATTAATATATTTGAAAAGAGAAACTGAACAATTATTAAGATATAATTGTTTAAAATACAACTAAGTTGCGCTAACGTATATTTTGTTTTTTTTTTTAATAAATAATTTTGAAAAAAGTAATAAGCACAATTATTGCAGGACGAATATTCTTTTTTGTTTACACCTTTGAAGTCCTCGCCACGCAATTTGAAATTATATATAAAAATTATATATAATAATATTCGTGAAATAGTCAACGGCTGGATTAATAGTCTCTGAGCAGAATTTTGGGGCGTTTTCTGTTGTTTCATGATGTCTGCTGGCGACGACTTCTGTTGAAAATGTTTGTATAGGCGCCTTCTTGATAGAGTTTTTATTTATACTCTCCTGGTGTCACAGTCTTCTTGATAGTTTCTATGTATACTCTCCTGGTGTCACAGTCTTCTTGATAGTTTCTATGTATACTCTCCTGGTGTCACATTCTTGATAGTGTCTTTATGTATACTCTCCTGGTGTCACATTCTTCTTGATAATTTCTATGTATACTCTCCTGGTGTCACATTCTTGATGGTGTCTTTATGTATACTCTCCTGGTGTCACATTCTTCTTGATAATTTCTATGTATACTCTCCTGGTGTCACATTCTTGATGGTGTCTTTATGTATACTCTCCTGGTGTCACATTCTTCTTGATAATTTCTATGTATACTCTCCTGGTGTCACATTCTTGATGGTGTCTTTATGTATACTCTCCTGGTGTCACAGTCTTCTTGATAGTTTCTATGTATACTCTCCTGGTGTCACAGTCTTCTTGATAATTTCTATGTATACTCTCCTGGTGTCACATTCTTGATGGTGTCTTTATGTATACTCTCCTGGTGTCACATTCTTGATGGTGTCTTTATGTATACTCTCCTGGTGTCACAGTCTTCTTGATAGTTTCTATGTATACTCTCCTGGTGTCACATTCTTGATGGTGTCTTTATGTATACTCTCCTGGTGTCACATTCTTGATGGTGTCTTTATGTATACTCTCCTGGTGTCACAGTCTTCTTGATAGTTTCTATGTATACTCTCCTGGTGTCACAGTCTTCTTGATAGTTTCTATATATACTCTCCTGGTGTCACAGTCTTCTTGATAGTTTATATGTATACTCTCCTGGTGTCACAGTCTTCTTGATAGTTTCTATATATACTCTCCTGGTGTCACAGTCTTCTTGATAATTTCTATGTATACTCTCCTGGTGTCACATTCTTGATGGTGTCTTTATGTATACTCTCCTGGTGTCACAGTCTTCTTGATAGTTTCTATGTATACTCTCCTGGTGTCACAGTCTTCTTGATAGTTTCTATGTATACTCTCCTGGTGTCACAGTCTTCTTGATAATTTCTATGTATACTCTCCTGGTGTCACAGTCTTCTTGATGGTGTCTTTATGTATACTCTCCTGGTGTCACAGTCTTCTTGATAGTTTCTATGTATACTCTCCTAGTGTCACAGTCTTCTTGATAGTTTCTATGTATACTCTCCTAGTGTCACAGTCTTCTTGATAGTTTCTATGTATACTCTCCTAGTGTCACAGTCTTCTTGATAGTTTCTATGTATACTCTCCTGGTGTCACAGTCTTCTTGATAGTTTCTATGTATACTCTCCTGGTGTCAGTCTTCTTGACGGTGTCTTTATGTATACTCTCCTGGTGTCACAGTCTTCTTGATAGTTTCTATGTATACTCTCCTAGTGTCACAGTCTTCTTGATAGTTTCTATGTATACTCTCCTAGTGTCACAGTCTTCTTGATAGTTTCTATGTATACTCTCCTAATGTCACAGTCTTCTTGATAGTTTCTATGTATACTCTCCTGGTGTCACAGTCTTCTTGATAGTTTCTATGTATACTCTCCTAGTGTCACAGTCTTCTTGATAGTTTCTATGTATACTCTCCTAGTGTCACAGTCTTCTTGATAGTTTCTATGTATACTCTCCTGGTGTCACAGTCTTCTTGATAGTTTCTATGTATACTCTCCTGGTGTCACAGTCTTCTTGACGGTGTCTTTATGTATACTCTCCTGGTGTATTCTTACACTGGTGATGGTGCCTCACACTATTAAAATCTTCATCTTTCGCCAGCTTCATCCTACACCAGCTTCATCCTACACCAGCTTCATCCTACACCAGCTTCATCCTACACCAGCTTCATCCTTTACCAGCTTCATCCTACACCAGCTTCATCCTTTACCAGCTTCATCCTACACCAGCTTCATCCTTTACCAGGTTCATCCTACACCAGCTTCGTTCTACACCAACTTCATCTTACAGAGGTAGCCACCGATGCCTGCAGCGAAGACACAGCCGTCAGGGGAGGCAGCGAGGGTGTTAGGACAGCCTGGCAGGGTGCAGGGTGTGGTGGTGAGTGGTGCCAGGGTGTGTAGGTCCCACACCCTGGCTGTGTTGTCCCAGCCTGCTGACACTAATCTGTCCTCACTCATACCTGCCAGGCTGGTGATGATCATCGCGTGACCCTGGTCAACAAGAAGACTTTATCAGCAGTAAGAAGACTTTTACAGATTAAGGAAGACTTTACTGATTAAACAGACTTTTAAGAAGACTTTTACGGATTACACAGATTTTTAAGGAGACTGTTCAGAGTAAGAAGACTTTTAGGAATAAAGTAATTTATTTACATTAAGAAGAACACTTTTTTGAGATTAACAAAATCTACTGAGATTAAATGGACTTTCTTTGAGTTAAAAGAAAAAGACTTCGTATTAAGATTTTATTGAGATTAAGAAGAATATGTTGATAAGACACATGTGCAACAGTGAGGTATCATTACTCAGAAATGTTACGCTTACACAGTAGACGTCTTCAGTCGAGTTGAGACTATGGAGGAAAGCTCTTCTCCCGGTCGAGGGACTGACCACCTCAAAACTACGTCTTTAATAATAATACGTATTTTTATTTCTACAAGTACATGTACGAAGTATACAGTTCTAGCTGACATAAATGACACACTACTATATAGAAAGCCACTTGTTATGCAGAGCATTTCTGGCAAATTAGGTCAATTTTGTCCGAGTATGTGACGCACTACAGTCGACTAACCCATTTTTACTGATGGGTGAACAGGAACAACAGGTGTAAAGAAATACACCCAATGTTTCCACCCTTGCCGGGAGTCGAACTCGGACGAACAGCGTGTGAAGAGAGAGCTTTTGCCACCTGGCCACGGGTCTGGTGGCCCGTGTAGGGTGATGAACTGATTACATCGTCTTCACATCTCTATCGCTTCTGTTGCCTCTGTACTCGACTGAAGAAGTCAACTGTGTAGGCGAAACATTTCTAAATAAAGATAATTGTAGCACATATATCTTACTTAACAACCTGTCGGTACTATAACATACAGTTTTTATATTCATTAAGAAGACTTTACTGTGACTGAGAAGAGTAATGAGATTAAGAAGACGACTGTCTTATTAAGATCAAGAAGATTTTACTAGGATCAAGAATACTGTTTTACTGGGATTAAGAAGAATACTTTACTGGGATCAAGAAGACTTTTCCGAATTAAATGGATATTATCCATATTAAGAAGACTTTATAAGATCAAGATTTTTTTTTCAGATAACACTGACGTTTTTCATACTAAGCAGAAAGCTTTATTAGGTACGTGAAAACTTAGTCTGATGCGTCATCAAGCCAGACTAAGCCAGGAAAGCCAGTGTGGCTTATCACTGCTGGGTGTCCCCTCACCCCATATTTATTTAAAGAGGAAGCGCTAAACCCGTAGGAATTACAGTGCCTGGGGGAATGCAAGTCCGTGAGGTTCCCCTCTTGTGAGGGGAAGGATGAGTGACGTTCCTGGACCCTGACTTGGGCCAGTGGGTGTGGGTTGGACTTACCTAGCATGGACCAGTAGGCCTGCTGCAGTGCTCTTTCTTATGTTATCAAGAGCTTTCTGAGAGCCATTAAGGGGAGGTCCTGTCCCAGGACGCGACCCCCCCCCCTCACATCACAACAGGGGGGGAAGTGAGGAATCGGGGAGGAGGGGGAGGGAAGGGGAAAAAGCGGGATGACTGAGGGAAGAGAGAGAGAGGAGGGGGAAGGTAAGAACATAAGAACGAAGGAACAGTGCAGCAGGCCTACTGGCCCATGCGAGGCAGGTCCAAGTCTCCTACCGGCTTAAGCCAATGCACCCAACCTAGTCAGGTCAGGTCACATTGACTTAAGGGAGGAACATGGCAACCTGGTAGCACAAGCTATCAGGTCCAACTCACACCCACTCATGTATTTATCCAACCTATTTTTAAAGCTACACAACGTTCTGGCCTCTATAACTGTACTCGGGAGTTTGTTCCACTCATCCACAACTCTATTACCAAACCAGTACTGTGTAGGGGTAATGAAGGTGAGAGAGAACACAGACAGGTAGAGACATAGAAGAGAGAAAGAGAGAGAGACACACAATTACGGTACAAAAAAACATATATTTAAACAACACAAAAATACAATACATCTTGCTATACATTTTTCACTCTATTTACACCATTAAAAACAAACACGTGGGTCACGCTCGCTAATGTAACATTCAATAATTGGTATCAGGGCCATTTATAGTGCGAGGCAGGGTTTTTATGGTATGAAATAGGGCCATTTATGGTGTGAAATGAGGCCATTTATGGTGTGAAATAGGGTAATTTATGGTGCGAGACAGGTTTTTTATGGTGTGAAATAATTCCATTTATGGTGTGAAATGGGGCCATTTATGGTGAAATAGGGTAATTTATGGTGCGAGACAGGTTTTTATGGTGTCAAATAGGGTCATTTATGGTTTAAAATAGGGTCATTTATAATGTGCAATGAGGCCATATATGGTGTGTATTAGGGTCATATATAGTGTGTGTTAGGGTCATATGTAGTGTGTATTAGGATCATACATAGTGTATTAGGACCATTGCTAATATTGTGTTACTGATGTAATTTTGTCTACGCTCCTTGTAATAGTAATGCCTAGTAAAAAATAATAAACATTGCCGAACTCGCCCATGCTAAGCAGGATCAACTCACGCCCACTCCCGTGTCCGTCCAACCTATATTTAAGGATTATTTCCCTCCTCACTCATCTACAACCATAATTTACGCCACAAACTCATCACAGAGGCAGTAGTATATATGTAACTATTAATAATAGTTGCAATTATAATCATATTTTTTTAAAGGGGTGGACGGGTAAGCCAGCGGAAGTCCTACCAGGAGTCTACCTGGACGTTATTCCGGGGATCAACGCCCCCGCGGCCCGGTCCACGACCAGGCCTCCCGGTGGATCAGGGCCTGATCAACCAGGCTGTTACTGCTGGCTGCACATTTTCCAACGTACGAACCACAGCCCGGCTGATCCGGCAATGACTTTAGGTATCTGTACAGCTCCCTCTTGAAGGCAGCCAGGGGTCTATTGGTAATTCCCCTAATGCTTGGCGGGAGGCTGTTGAACAGTCTTGGGCCCTGGAAACTTATGGTGTTTACTCTTAGTGTACCAATGGCGCCCCTACTTTAATTGGGGGTATTTTGCATCGCCTGTCCAGTCTTTTACATTTTTAGGGAGTGATTTCTGTGTGCAGATTTGGGACCATTCCTTCCAGGATTTTCAAAGTGTAGATTATGATACACTTCTCTCTCCTGCGTTCCAACGAGTACAAGTCAAGTGCTTCCAAGCGTTCCCAAGTAGTTCAGGTGCTTGATAGAACTTATACGTGCAGATGACCAAAAGCTCCAGCTGCGGGTCCTCATATTAATTTAGACCCGCGTCAGGTAACACTTGTCCGGTTTCCTGACAAACCTTACATAACTTAGAGGCAGTAATGTTAAGAATTACGGAGGCCTATACTGGGTATGTTTTCACGAGCCAGTGGCGCCAGTCTCCCATATGTGTGGGGAGAGACTAGCCCAAGCCTAGCATTACTACTCATTATTATTATTATTATGATAATCAAGGGGGAAGCGCTAAACCCGGAGGATTATACAGCGCCTGGGGGGGGGGATGTGGAAGGCATTCAGGCTTAATTCGGGGAACTGGAGCACAGATCCAATTCCCTAAATCAAGAGCCCCTCACCAACATCAAGGAACCTTCCTTGAGGGGTTTACTACTCTCAGAGTATTATAATAACCAAGCCTAGCATTACTACTCTCAGAGTATTATAATAGCCAAGCCTAGCATTACTACTCTCAGAGTATTATGATAATCAAGCCTAGCATTACTACTCTCAGAGTATTATAATAGCCAAGCCTAGCATTACTACTCTCAGAGTATTATAATAACCAAGCCTAGCATTACTACTCTCAGAGTATTATAATAACCAAGCCTAGCATTACTACTCTCAGATTATTATAATAACCAAGCCTAGCATTACTACTCTCAGAGTATTATAATAACCAAGCCTAGCATTACTACTCTCAGAGTATTATAATAACCAAGCCTAGCATTACTACTCTCAGATTATTATAATAACCAAGCCTAGCTTACTACTCTCAGGTATATAAAAACCCAAAGCCTAGCATTACTACTCTCAGAGTATTATAAAAACCCAAGCCAAAGCATTACTACTCTCAGAGTATTATAATAACCAAGCCTAGCATTACTACTCTCAGATTATTATAATAACCAAGCCTAGCATTACTACTCTCAGATTATTATAATAACCAAGCCTATCATTACTACTCTCAGAGTATTATAATAACCAAGCCTAGCATTACTACTCTCAGAGTATTATAATAACCAAGCCTAGCATTACTACTCTCAGAGTATTATAATAACCAAGCCTAGCATTACTACTCTCAGATTATTATAATAACCAAGCCTAGCACTACTACTCCCGGAGTATTGTTTTCTAGTAAAAGCTGACAAAAAAAGAGAACAAGATGGTAGAATAGAACACTGTGAGTGTAAAGAATGATATTCATTGTTTAATAACAGGAGAGTGTGTTAAGGGAGAGTCAAGATCACTCAGAATTCGCTTCGCAAAAGCAAGACACGTCGTTACATACAGTATGAGGCATGTGTCTCTCAATGTATATACAGTGAGATGTGTCTCTCTCAGTGTATGTACAGTGAGATGTGTCTCAGTGTATATACAGTGAAAGGTTTATGTGGAGAAATTACCCCCAACAAGGAGTGAGCAAGAGGGTCGTGGCCCCTCCCTTTTTCCAACAGGGGAGGGGAGTCGCATACTATACTCCGTGAGGTCATATCAACATCCTTCCTTCTGCTACTGAGGACTCGCGGAGGTACAAGTAAAGGTGGACAAACTATAGTATTGGTCATACGAGTAGTTCCTTGAATTGATCCCCAGCAAAGGCAAGGTTATGAAAATCAGAGAAGGGGCAGAAGACCAGAAAGTGTATAGTCTCTCGGGAAAGACAGGCAGCACACCTCACTCCAAGTGTCAACACTGTGGCCAGCATATCACCAGAGGGTCGCAACAACGGAATAACCTCTGCAGTGATCTAAAAGCAGTATCCAACACCTGCAATGAACCCTTGCCTGCTAATGCATGTTAAAACAGGAGAAAGTGCAGAGGTATGCAACGAGACTAGACCCAGAGCTAAGGAAAATGAGCTATGAGGAGAGAATAAAGGAACTAAACTTGATGACATCAGAGGATAGACGAACCAGGGAAGACATGATAATGACATACAAAATACTCAGAGGACATGATTAGGTGGTTATGGATAGAAAGTTCGAGACGCGGAGAACAGGTGCATAAAAACACATTTACAAGCTGAAGTCACAAATAAGTGAGAGGAATGTTGAGAAGTATTTCTTTAGTCTCAGGGATGCCACGCAGTGAAAAGATCGTAACGAAGGAGTAGGGAAGGCAGACTCCATACATGCTTCTAAGAAGAGCTATGACAGGGCCCACCAGGCTAGGAGTAAACCCGGCAAGCGACAAGTTAAGAAGTACCCTCCAGGAGCTGATAATCGACCCATACACCCACAAATGAGCGAGTACAAATAGGAAGAACACACACACACACACACACACACACACACACACACACACACACACACACACACACACACACACACACACACACACACACACACACACGCACACATGCACATGCACACACACACACACACACACACACACACACACACACACACACACACACACACACACACACACACACACACACACACACACACACGCACGCACACGCACACACACACACATACACACACACGCACACATGCACACACACACACACACACACACACACACACACACACACACACACACACACGCACACACGCACACACACACACACACACACACACACACACACACACACACACACACACACACACACACACACACACACACACACACAACCTAAGCAGAAGTATGATAAAGCTCACGGTTCAGTCAGGGAGAGTGACCTAGTAGCGACCAGTGAAGAGGCGGGGTCAGGAGCTTGGACTCGACCCCTGCAACCTCAACTAGGTGAGTACAACTAGGTGAGTTTACACCCCCCCCAACAAGGGGTCACAACTATAAGTTGAAAACTCAAATGAGTCACAGGGAAGTTAAGAAATATTTCTTCAGTTACAGAGTTGTCAGGAAGTGGAACAATCTGGAGGGTGATGTAGTGAAGGCAGAATCCATACATAGCATTAAGAAGAGGTACGATAAAGCTTTTGGAGCAGGAAGAGAGTAGACCTAGTAGCGACCAGCGAAGAGCTGGTGCGAGGAGCTGTGAATCCACCCCTGCAACCACAAATAGGTGAGCACACACACGGCAAAATTTAGATGTGATAACAGCTGATTAGAAAAAGCAACTGGAGTGCGGTACACACACAGTAACGCCGCACTCTACACTATCCCTAATTAGGTGTGTGACTGACCTGCAGCTGTCCTCTGAGGGTGTAAGCACTGCTGGTGTTGTCGTAGACAATGATGCTCAGACCAGAGGCCTCAGGAACTACCAGGTTGCCACCAACCACACACAGAGGTGCACGACCATCCAGCGACTTAGTAACTGTGAACTTGTTCGTCTCTCCTGCAATAATAATAATAATAATAATAATAATAATAATAATAAAATAATAGTGTTAATAATAGTAATAATAATAAGAATTATTATTATTATTATTATTATTATTATTATTATTATTATTATTATTATTATTATTATTATTGTTATGAATCACTAAAAATATGGGGGACATGCAGGGGCCTAGGGAATGGGAGGCAATAGGTTTGATCCAAGTAAGGGGAAGGTAAACCCAATTCACTGGATCAGGAGCTCCTTTACTAGCAAGAAGGAGTCTTCTGCGAGCATAATCTAAAACCACAACAAAAGAATCACGACCACAGCTCTGCTGCAACTACCAACACTGTAGACTGGTATACCACTAAACACAGCTCTAATGTTGTAACTACAAACACATTAACAAACACATACAGACTCACCTTTGGTCTGTGTGATGGTGACACCTCTGTCCCTGACTGTGTACAGGAGGTTCTCCTGGGCGTGGAGGCCCCACACCTCCTCCACCACACTGTAGAAGGCAAGCAGATCTCCTTCTTCGGTATAGACCCGTACCTGCAGCGCCAAGGCATCTATGTTAGTTAGCGTGACAGTTTTAATAGTCATACCATACCCATCCTGTGGGTGGTAGTCACCCCATACCCATCCTGTGGGTGGTAGTCATCCCATACTCATCCTGTGGGTGGTAGTCACCCCATACTCATCCTGTGGGTGGTAGTCATACCATACCCATCTTGTGGGTGGTAGTCACCCCATACCCATCCTGTGGGTGGTAGTCACCCCATACCCATCCTGTGGGTGGTAGTCACCCCATATCCATCCTGTAGAAGGTAGTCATACCATACACATCCTGTGGGAGGTAGTCATACCATACCCATCTTGTGGGTGGTAGTCACCCCATACCCATCCTGTGGGTGGTAGTCACTCCATACTCATCCTGTGGGTGGTAGTCACCCCATACCCATCCTGTGGGTGGTAGTCACCCCATACCCATCCTGTGGGTGGTAGTCACCCCATACTCATCCTGTGGGTGGTAGTCACCCCATACCCATCCTGTGGGTGGTAGTCACCCCATACTCATCCTGTGGGTGGTAGTCACCCCATATCCATCCAGTGGGTGGTAGTCACCCCATACCCATCCTGTGAGTGATAGTACCATACCCCTCCTGTGGGTGGTAATCACCCCATACCCATCCTGTGAGTGATAGTACCATACCCCTCCTGTGGGTGGTAATCACCCCATACCCATCCTGTGAGTGGTAGTAGTACCATACCCCTCCTGTGGGTGGTAATCATACCATACCCATCTTGCGGGTTGTGGTCATCCCATACCCATCCTGTAGGTGGTAGTCATACCATACCCATTATGTGGGTGGTAGCAATACCATACTCATCCTGTGGGTGGTAGTCATACCATACCCAGCCTGTGGGTGGTAGTCACCCCATACCCATCCTGTGGGTGGTAGTCACCCCATACCCATCCTGTGGGTGGTAGTCACCCCATACTCATCCTGTGGGTGGTAGTCACCCCATACCCATCCTGTGGGTGGTAGTCACCCCATACTCATCCTGTGGGTGGTAGTCACCCCATATCTATCCAGTGGGTGGTAGTCACCCCATACCCATCCTGTGAGTGATAGTACCATACCCCTCCTGTGGGTGGTAATCACCCCATACCCATCCTGTGAGTGATAGTACCATACCCCTCCTGTGGGTGGTAATCACCCCATACCCATCCTGTGAGTGGTAGTAGTACCATACCCCTCCTGTGGGTGGTAATCATACCATACCCATCTTGTGGGTTGTGGTCATCCCATACCCATCCTGTAGGTGGTAGTCATACCATACCCATTATGTGGGTGGTAGCAATACCATACTCATCCTGTGGGTGGTAGTCATACCATACCCAGCCTGTGGGTGGTAGTAATACCATACCCATCCTTGCGGGTGGTAGTCACCCCATATCCATCCTGTGGGTGGTAGTAATAACATACTCATCCTATGGGAGGTAGTCATACCATATCCATCCTGTAGAAGGTAGTCATACCATACACATCCTGTGGGAGGTAGTCATACCATATCCATCGTGTGGGAGGTAGTCATACCATACCCATCTTGTGGGAGGTAGTCATACCATACCCATCCTGTGGGAGGTAGTCATACCATACCCATCCTATGGGAAGTAGTCACACCATACCTATCGTGTGGGAGGTAGTCATACCATACCCATCGTGTGGGAGGTAGTCATACCATACCCATCCCATGGGTGGTGGTAATACCATACCCATCCTGTGGGTGGTAGTCATACCATACCCATCCTATGGGTGGTGGTAATACCATACCCATCCTGTGGGTGGTAGTCACAACAAACCCATCCTATGGGAGGTAATCATACCATACCCATCCTATGAGTGGCAGTCACAACATACCCATCCTGTTGGGGGTCGTAGCACCATACCCATCCTGTGGGAGGTAGTCACAACATACCCATCCTTTGGGAGGTAGTCACAACATACCCATCCTGTGGGAGGTAGTCACAACATACCCATCCTGTGGGAGGTAGACTAGTGTCACAATACAGTGGCTGGAACAATTAACCAAAAACTAGCACTTATGAGAGAAACCTCATGCCGATGTTTCGCCCAGGCCTGAACCATTGTCAAGTCACAACAGAGGTAATAAATGTAGAGAAGATCTGCTGGCAATATAATAGGGTGGTGGTAATAATAGTAGTAGTAGCAGTAGTAACAGTAGTAGTAGTAATAGTAGTCGTAGTAGTGGTAACAGTAGCAATAATAGTAGTAGCGGCAGCAGTAGTGGCATTATTATAATGGGGAGCGCTAAACCCGTAGGATTATACAGCGCATGTGGGGGGGGGGATGGAAGGTATTCAGACTCAATTCAGGATACTGGAGCACAGATCCAATTCCCTAGATCAAGAGCCCCTCACCAGCGTCAAGGAACCTCCCTTGAAGGGAGCAGTAGTGGTAGTGGTAGTAGTATTAAAACTAATAGAAGTCGTAGTAGTGGTAGCAGTAATAGTAGTAGTAGTAGTAGTAATAGAAGCAGTAGTAGTAGCGGTAGCAGTAGTAGTAATAAAGTAGTGATAGTAGTAGTAATCGTAGCAGTAGTAGTAGTAATAGTAATAGTTGTAGTAGCAGCAGTAACAATAGTAGCAGTAATAGTAGTAGTAGCATCAGTTTCAGCAGCAGTAATAGTAGTAGCAGTAGTAGTAGTAGTAGTAGTAGTAGTAGTAGCAGAGGTAGCAGGAGCAGTAAAGGGTAAACGCTCAGAGAAGCACCTCACATACACTGGTCCACACCAAAGCAGAAATTTTTTTTTTCTCTCCTCCTTCGTGACCTCCGTATCGGTGACTCTCAATTTCTCGACTCTTAAAATCTCTACTCTTCGCAGCTCCTCTCGTCTTGGCTATCCTATCGAGTTCATAAACTCTGCCTCTCTCATGCTAAATGGAGTTTCTCCTCTTCCCAAACTCGATCCTCTTGTAACATCTGCCCTTTGCCTCTCTTACATTTCCAGTCTTCAGATCTTAACAACAGCCTCCGTCCTGTAGACATCAAACTTGCTTTTCGTCAGACTAATACACGTCGCAGGAATCTTGTTCATGCTTCTCCAGTCACTGATGCTTATATTCCCGTTACTGCTCCTCTTGCTTGTCTCCAATACTTTGGTGAAACTGGCCACTTCTTTTCTGACAGATGTAAAGAGTACAAAAGATGTCTTCGCCCAGCCGACAAAGCAATGTTTTTTTTCTGTCGGGTCAGAGATTACAGCCATCGTATTAACTAGTCCTCTGCTAAAACCATATAGCCTTCAAAGACGTCATCTTCAGCCCTCATATAAAACAGTCCTAACCTGTATCTTACTCTTGTCTTTGTTTCTGTACATGCCTCCCGTTTGTAGTACATAGTCAAAATGCTCTAATTTTTCATAGCACTAGTGACTTGACCTGACCTCTCCCTTTTCCTCTCATCTTGACCTGTCTTCTGCTTTGTCTTTGCTTTCCCTTCTTAATTCTTTCCTTTCGTAATTCTTTTTCTTTCCAGCCTGGGCCAGTTGGCCTACTGTAGTTCCCCTCTACAATCTTGGGGACAGGTCTTAGTACTTAGATACTTCAGTCGCCACTACTTAGAAGTCTAATTCACTCTCAATATTCTATCACTGGTCCTGCGTGACATTTGCCAGTAAATCTCCCGCAATGTTCCTGTTCCTTTTGCCCATTTTGTACTGCTACTGTCACTACTACTTTCTTCCCAGTATCCCAGTCGAAGTGCTTTCTGGCATTCTCTACTTTTCTTGCCTTTTGTGACCTGACATGAATTGAAACGTCGTCATAAGGATCTTCTCCTAATTACTTTTTTTAGGGGGGGGGGGGATGAACCGTCGGAGGTAGTCACCCCATAACCCATCCTGTGGGAGGTAGTCACCCCCATAACCCATCCTGTGGGTGGTATTCACGCATTCTGTGAGAGGCAAACAAAAGGTGACGTAAGTATATATAGGCCCAGAGACAGAGTTGCATCTACCCTAAACACTACACCTACCCCTGCTAAGAACCTAGCTACCACGGCTAATGAACCTAACTACCCCTGCTAAGAACTAACTACCACTGCTAAGAATCTAACTGCAGCTGCTAATAAGCTGATTAATTATTATTATGAAAGAAATATTCCTCTAAATGTAGCACTGTCAACGCGCGTGAAGACATTACACACGAAGATCAAACTTTTACCGGGACAAGTTCCTTTGAGTAAGAGTTTGATAAATCTCTACACTGAGTGAGACACGACTTTATAAAGCTCCACACGGAGGAAACATTGACATGAAGTCATACACAACGAAGAAACATTTACTTGATAAAGCTCTATATAAAAAGAGAAACACTGACTTAATAAAGCTGTATACAGAGCAAAGCACTGATTGGTTAAGTTCTACACAAAGCCAAACATTGACTAGATTACTATGATATGATGCTTATGGCTGCAATGCATAAAAGCTATTTTAAATTATTGAGTCAAAATGTACCGTATTTTTCGGCATATAAGGCGCACGATTATATGAGAAATACAATACGTTGTTTTCAAGCAGTTGTAACGTTAGTAAACAACTGCTAAAGCGTAACCCAAGTCTACCCTTACTCTTACTTTGAACTTATAAGGCGCAGGGTGATTTTCCATGATTTTTTTTTATAAGAAAAAAGCACGCCTTATATGCCGGAAAATACAATACGTCTGAATATTTGTTTCCTGTTCGTCTGTAATATTCGAAGCTGGGAAGTTCCAGAGAAAAATAAATAATAGCATGTTCCTGACATATATATAACTGTCAGGAACATGCTATTACTGCTTACTGTTAGTGTGTGGGGGTAGGAAGGTGGATGTGTCTGTGTTCTGGAACGCATCAGGGAACGTGTCCATTACATGTACACCTTTTGTTTGTTTCGTCTTTGGCTACTCGACTGCTTGTCTAATGCATCATAACATTTCAAACGTAATTGTAATTGCCCAATAATTTTAGTCACTTTTCTGTGGTGTGTTGTGATGTCAGTTACTGCTAACTGGGCGTAACTTCTCTCTATCTATCTATCTAGGAGGAGGGATCACTACGTGTTGGCGTCTTTGACCAGGTTTAGATAGGTTGATAGTCTTTATCTATTTAAGAATTACTGTCACCAGTGTGTATATATATATATATATATATATATATATATATATATATATATATATATATATATATATATATATATATATATATATTATTTTATTATTATCACACTGGCCGATTCCCACCAAGGCAGGGTGGCCCGAAAAAGAAAAACTTTCACCATCATTCACTCCATCACTGTCTTGCCAGAAGGGTGCTTTACACTACAGTTTTTAAACTGCAACATTAACACCCCTCCTTCAGAGTGCAGGCACTGTACTTCCCATCTCCAGGACTCAAGTCCGGCCTGCCGGTTTCCCTGAATCCCTTCATAAATGTTACTTTGCTCACACTCCAACAGCACGTCAAGTATTAAAAACCATTTGTCTCCATTCACTCCTATCAAACACGCTCACGCATGCCTGCTGGAATATATATATATATATATATATATATATATATATATATATATATATATATATATATATATATATATATATATATATATATATATATATATATAGTTTTTTATTACCCAGTACTGGAATACCGTAATGTTTTATTAAATTTTATTTATAAAGACTGAAAACGTAAGTATATATACAATGAGGCCTCTCAGCGAGTACACACTGACAGTTTAGTGTATTCCCTTTTTTCTAGGATTTAAATATTCTAGACGTAGTTTATTGGTGACGTGGAGCCTTAATGAGTCCCGTGTAATCTATAGGCTTTAAACTCTGTTAACCAACCAAACTGTTCTATACTCTAGTGTAAACAATAAATGCATGTATCACTAAAAAATGGAAAGCTCTAAACCAATATGGGTCATATAGAGCTTGGGGGATGGGATGTAATTAGAGAAAGGGGACCTTTAAGTTCTAAAATCAAGAGCTCTTTACTAGCATCAAAGCCCCTATCCCCCCGTCTGTCTGATGGGAGGAGCTTGGGAAAGGATGTAGAGTACAGGGTTGTTGAGGGTAACATTGTGCTGGGCTCACCAGTGCGTTGTTGGTGCACGGGAGGAGGAATTGGATAGGAAGAGGAGGAGGGGAGGAAGGAGGAGGATGCATGGGATAAGAGGAGGAGGAGACATAAGGCTATTCTGAGAGATGGTAACTCCCATATAATAATAACTCCAGCTCCGACGGAAGTGAACCTTTAAAGATCTAAACACTGATGAACCACTTATGGAATATTTAACGATATCCTCACTGCCCCACCTTAACACAACACTACCACCTTAACACAACACACTACCACCTAAACACAACACTGCCACCTAAATGCATCACGTACCACCTACCTCACCCTTGTCATCTCCAGCAAACACACTGGTACCATTGGTAGCCAGCTTCCTTACAGACTCCTCGTGTGGCGATAGTGTCTTCTTCAGCTGAAAGGTGTTTACATCCCAGCTCTTCACGGTGGCATCCACGGAGCACGTGAAGAGCGTGTTACCGAGCACCAGCAGGTCGTTCACACCGTAGTCGTGCGCCTGGAACTCGTGCAGCAGTTTCAGGTCGTGGTGATCCCAGACCTGAAAGAAACAGATTTCAGACATGATTTGTTTTAGATGTGAAGAGTTAAAAACTCTCAGGCCATACAGCGAAGTGGTGATTGCATGGAGGTTATAAGGGTTTTATTGGTGAGAGGTAACGAGAAGTTATAGTGGTGACAAGTTATGAGGGGCTATAGTGGTGGTATAGCAGAAGTTATGAGGGTGATAAAACAGAGGTAACGAGGGGTTATAGTGGTGATATAATGGAAGTTATGAGGGTGATAGAACAAGAGAAAACGAGGGTTTATAGTGGTGATAGAACAAGAGGTAACGTGGGGTTATAGTGGTGATTGAAGAAGTGTTAACGAGGGGTTATAATGGTGACAGAAGAGGTAACGAGAGTTATAGTGGTGATATAACAACAGGTAACAAGGGTTATAGCGGTGATAGAACATAAGATAACGATGGATATAGTGGTGATAGAACAAGTAAAGCCTTATGGCAAATAAAAGTCTCACTACCGTGGCTGAAACAATTCACAAATAACCCACAATTTTGGAAAGGATATTTCGATACGTCCTGTATTCGTAACCTGATAACGGTCCAGGAAGGACCGAAACGTCGTCTAAAGTTTCCAAATTGTGAGTTAGTTGTGAGTAACCTATATTACGTGGAATGCTATAGCAGGGCCAAGAGCTGAACTCTTCTTGTAGCTCCCCTTGTACCTCTTCATCTCACTCTTGTTTTTGTTGTTAATGACTTGATACAGGTCTTTTTTTTTTTCATAATAAGACCAATTCAGTAGTGCCAGCTCTAAGGCGTGGTAAGACTGTCTGAAGCTTCACATGAAGGTGTGACAGCCGTTGGTACAATGGTGGTCCAGGGAAGAAGTTGTGACCCCTGGCTTACATATGCTGGACGCGGGTCTTCTCGTTTGGCTCCTCTAATACAAATATCACACCTACCTTTTTCTTGACCTTTTGTATTTGTACAGTCTTCCTCACTGAACAGCGTCGTGCCACGGGTTTTACATAATGATGCGTTCACTGGCTCCTCGGAGTGTCCATGATTTAGAAATGGAGGTACCGTTAATTACCCTATACTTGGACCTCGCTTAGGCGTGGATGATTGCTGTCAGGAAATCAAGGTACCGTTGGCCATATGGCTGAGGCGAGACGGTTTACAGCAAACGATAGTGTTTGCTGTCTTGTTATTAAAAGAGGTGCAGCCACTGGCTGTTGACAGTGTTCTCATTCCGGTGTAAAACACTGGCGAAGCTCCTGAAAATTCCAACTTGAAACCTGATTCCAGTGAGAGCGGACGAATGTGTTTCAATGATACCTAGCTGTACTGCATGCAGGGTTACAGACATCTATTGAATTACGTGACTTCAATTTTACGATCCAGATACGGCATTTCATGGCCTCACGTCCTTCTCAGATTCTAGTCTGACCTTATGTCACCTAGGAACTTAGTCTGACCTTATCTTACATCCTTATTCTAGCCTAACCTGACATCAACCCAGTAACCTAGTAACCTAGCCTACTCTGATCGAAGTCGCCATCCTAGCTTAACCCAACCAACTTTTACATCAGCCCAGTAAATTAACCTAATCTTATCTAATCTAGCCTGACCCACTCTAACATCTTAGAAGCTCTACAGTTTCGTGACGTTAGGACCTTGACCTAACATCTCGTTTCTCTGTTGACCTAGCCTCCCCTTACTGACCTGACCTGACCTACCATAATTTTCTGACCTAACCTAATCTACCTGACTCGATCTACTTTGACCCTCCTGATCTGACTTGATCGACCTTGACCTTCCTGACCTAACCTGACATACCTTGACCTTGCCCCCAGCAGAGCAGGTGAGGACGCGAGCACCGTGTACCAACACAGCTTCAATGTCGTCACCAGGCCTGGGCACCAGCCTCTTGGGTCTGCTGAACTGTAAACAATAATGGTGAACAGTGTACAGGCTATTGTCCCTCACACACATGTCTTGCCTAAATAAGCCAAGTCCGCAAGCTTGCTTTGAAAAAGCACGAAACAAACACACACAATCGCACCTGTTGACCCATGTTAAGCAGATTCTTCCCGGACGAAGCTGAAAGTTAAAAATATTAACTGTCTCAGTCGTCTAAATTATGTTTAATTAAAGTTGTCCACCCTATTATTTTTAAACTACTGCAGGTTAAATGGTGTTACAGCTCATTGAAATAAAGTGAAATACTCAACTACGGCCTAATGGTGGATCAAATCTACTATTGCAGCTTACTGATAGTTTAAATGAGATCACAGCTTAAAGCACGCTTTGAAAGCCTGATGCAGCCTAGTTTTTGTTAAAATATTCTACTGCAGCTTAATAAAAAATAAAATTGGCGAGCACAGATACAAGATAAAATAGGCCATAACAAATAGATACAAGATAAAATAGTGTATAACAAATAAATATATATTAAAATAGGCTGGTACAGCTTATTGCACGTTAAAACAGGCTTCTCTAGGCTGTCTATTGTAACCCAAGATTTTAGAAATTATTATATATTTAGCTGATATTTGACTAGCAATATATTAATGAATTCTAATGATAATGTGCCAGGATGGGCCCGAAACGTTGTTTAGTTTTATTTCTGACGTGTGGGTTAGTTGTAAAGTGTTGCAGGCACAGTATTGTGACTAATTCTTCATTATATAAGGCAGTGTGAGTGACGTCCGTACTGACCTTGACCTTGCCATCGTCTGCACAAGTGAACACCTTCTCTCCGTGGAGACACACGGAGTTAGCGTCGCTCTGGTGTTTCTGGTCGTCAGAAACTGTGGCTACCACCTCCAGCTTGGTCATGGCTGCTGCTGTCTCTTATCAATCAAGAATCAGCCACGAGAAGCTTGAAAATTTCAGAGATGAAGGAGACACTTCTGTCGCGTCTGAAGTCTGGTTAATGTTTTCCCAACACAAGGAAAACGAGGCGCAGAACTTTTTGCGTTCTTTCAGTCTGAGTTTTGCGTTTCGAAATATTTTAATATTTCCAAATTAATTATCGAGTTATACTTTTATACATCTACCCTCGGTGCCGTGGTCAGGGTTATCTATCAGCAAATATCTCACTGTAGTTTCAAGGGCAAGTATTAATTAAATGGACACAAAACAATAATATACTCAAGTTAGCCCTTAAACAGCACTTATAATTATTCTAAAAGTTCTGGTGGTAGTGTTGTTATGTCAGCGGCGAGACCTGTGGCTGCCAACTGTGTTCTGCCCAACCAACTTCCTCCCTGACTGTCTGAGAAACCAAATATAGCACCACCTTCCTGGCTCCCAGAACCATCTAGTGGCATGGGGAATATATGGTTGGGTTATCAAGGGGTGAAGGGATGACGAAGGAAAGGGATAAGGGATATCCATTTACAGGTAAACAACAAAAACGAACAAATTTTATTTCTTTGTGCGGTATAAAAACATAGTTTACATGTAATAAAACATTGTTAAGCACAAAAGAAAGTCACTAGTATGTGCATTTTGGGTAGACTAATCCTAATGCTTACAGACTACTAAACACTGAGTGGTTCAATTTTAAGTATGCAAAAATGTATATATTTAAGTATTACCTGGAGTTTACCTGGAGAGAGTTCCGGGGTCAACGCCCCCGCGGCCCGGTCTGTGACCAGGCCTCCTGGTGGATCAGAGCCTGATCAACCAGGCTGTTGCTGCTGGCTGCACGCAAACCAACGTACGAGCCACAGCCCGGCTGGTCAGGAACCGACTTTAGGTGCTTGTCCAGTGCCAGCTTGAAGACTGCCAGGGGTCTGTTGGTAATCCCCCTTATGTATGCTGGGAGGCAGTTGAACAGTCTTGGGCCCCTGACACTTATTGTATGGTCTCTTAACGTGCTAGTGACACCCCTGCTTTTCATTGGGGGGATGTTGCATCGTCTGCCAAGTCTTTTGCTTTCGTAGTGAGTGATTCTCGTGTGCAAGTTCGGTACTAGTCCCTCTAGGATTTTCCAGGTGTATATAATCATGTATCTCTCCCGCCTGCGTTCCAGGGAATACAGGTTTAGGAACCTCAAGCGCTCCCAGTAACTGAGGTGTTTTATCTCCGTTATGCGCGCCGTGAAGGTTCTCTGTACATTTTCTAGGTCAGCAATTTCACCTGCCTTGAAAGGTGCTGTTAGTGTGCAGCAATATTCCAGCCTAGATAGAACAAGTGACCTGAAGAGTGTCATCATGGGCTTGGCCTCCCTAGTTTTGAAGGTTCTCATTATCCATCCTGTCATTTTTCTAGCAGATGCGATTGATACAATGTTATGGTCCTTGAAGGTGAGATCCTCCGACATGATCACTCCCAGGTCTTTGACGTTGGTGTTTCGCTCTATTTTGTGGCCAGAGTTTGTTTTGTACTCTGATGAAGATTAATATTTTATTAATATTTTAAACTGATTCAGTGATCTTGATTTAACTGGGATTTCTTAAGTATATTTGCAGCTCTGGTCTGAAGCATAATACTGCACCACCAGTGTACTATGACCACCAGTTATGTGTATTTACTTAATTAATGGGTCTTTCTACCAGTTATTCTAAGTTATGAGGTTCGTATAACCATCAGGACACTTAACTACCAGGATACTTAACTACCAGGATACTTAACCACCAAGATACTAAACCACCAGGATATTTTACCACCAGGATACATAACCACCAGGATACTAAACCACCAGGATACTAAATCACCAGGATACTAAACCACCAGGATACTAAACCACCAGGATACTTAACCACCAGGATATTTAACTACCAGGGTACATAACCACCAGGATACTAAACCACCAGGATACTAAACCACCAGGATACTAAACCACCAGGATACTAAACCACCTGGATACTTAACCACCAGGATACTTAACCATCAGGATACATAGCCACCAGGATACTTAACCACCAGGATACGTAACCACCAAGATACATAACCACAAGGATATTTAACCACCAGGATACTTAACCACCAGGATACATAACCACCAGGATACATAGCCACCAGGATACATAACCACCAGGATACATAACCACCAGGATACATAGCCACCAGGATACATAACCACCAGGATACATAGCCAGCATGATACATACCCACCGGGATACATGACCACCAGGATACATAACCACCAAGATACATAACCACCAGGATACATAACCACCAGGATACATAACCACCAAGATACATAACCACCAGGATACATAACCACCAAGATACATAACCACCAGGATACATAACCACCAGGATACATAACCACCAGGATACATAACCACCAGGATACTTAGATATTTATCTTGCCATAACTTTCCCTGGGTTAAAACATCTTGCCCGGTTAATAATCCAAAGGAATGTTTTTCAATTTTTATTCCGCCATTTCCCCCCTCCCCTCCCTCCCTCCCCCCCTCCCTCCCCCCTCCGAGTCTCACAATGTTGCTACAGTAGATCACTAAATTTAAACCCACCGTTGTAATATCAGAAAAAAGTGACGTTTGGTTTAATTAAAACCACTCAACACAAACATAACTAAAACATAAACATTTATTATTTATTGACGGTCGTTCATTACGACTTGAATTGATTCAATAAACATTTAATTTGTACTTAATTATAACTCACATGGAGACATACTGAGTAGGCTGATTGATCTGTATATTTCGCCTCTCTGCTGAAGAGGATCCCAGAAGGGAGACGAAATATACAGATCAGTTAATCTTCCGAATTACTGTCTCCATGAGGGTTATTACTGAGCACTGAGAAGCCTTTATTATACTTAAGTTGTCCATTTAATTTGCAGTTAATATTTCACACATTTTGCTTTTATATTTCTTGAAGGATAGAATTCTTATGTGAAATATATAGGATACACAGCATCTGTGTATTATTGATCCTGTGAGAGCGAGGAGCGGGGGCGATCATCCCGCAGCTACAACAGAGATGTAAACTTTGTTGACAGAGTGGCAGTCTGTTGACGTTGGTGTGAAAGGATAATGAGAGTAACGGGAAAACAGAGGTGTCAGGTGACAGCAGGTGGTGCCAGGGTGTGGCAGGTGACAGGTAACGGTAGGTGGTGGCAGGGTGTGTCAGGTGACAACAGGTAGTGGCAGGGTGAGGGGTGTCAGGTCAGAGAAGGTGGTGGCAGGTGATGTCAGATGACAGCAGGTGGTGACATCAACTTTAGTATGGATCAACACTTCTACCAGCGTTGTCATTTCCATCAATCCTGTCAACGGGAACATTAATCAGGTATCATCAATGATTGTTGACGATTGATAATGCCTGATGTTGATAATGATGATAATAATGATGATAATAATGATAATGATATTGATAGTATCAAGGCAATGCGACCCAGGCAGTCATACCCACTCTTCGAAGAGGCGGGGCCAGGAGCTGTAACTCGACCCCTGCAACCACAAATACGTAAGTATGCAACACTCACCAACAAGTGTTGCCACACCTGTGCTCTTATCTAAATCTAAATCTAAACACTCTGAGTCTAATGGTTCCAGTTTTGACTTTGAGTCTGGATCAAATTATTCAGTTAAGATAATTATTAAGATAAAATTATTACTGTTTTTCGAATTATGTTAGTGGAGCTGAACAACCCACACGGGTTTAGCGCTTTTAATAATAATAATAATAATAAACAATAATAATAATAAATAATAAAATAATAATAATAATAATAATAATAATAATAGTTACTAATGTTAGTGTTATTGCTACCTATATATATATATATATATATAATATATATATATATATATATATATATATATATATATATATATATTATATATATATATATATATATATATATATATATATATATATATATATATATATACATAAATATAGAAACGCTAGACCCGTAATAGTCATTTAAGTTCAGGGAGTGGCGATACTCAGGTTTAATCCAAGGAGGTGAGAGAGTGAGGGGAAGGGAGACAGGGGTAGCTCTCCTTTCTTGAATCACGAGCACTTGGCCATCATCAAGGCCAGGTAGGCAAAACTTCACTCACTCGTCTAGGCAGAACCTCACTCACTCGTCTGTGGGTTCCAGAACAGGTTCAATGTTCATCTGTTGGTCTCTGACGATTCCACGACGACGTAAGAATGGTACAATGACCACATCATTGTACAACATCATACCCACCACCAGTACAGCGAAGCCAATTGGCTGTAAAAGAACGAGAAGATTTCAGTGTTGTCATTTCCATATATATATACATTATATTACATTACTACTACAAAAGATCATTGTAATAGTGTGGTCTGCTCACTTTTAGTAAGACAACTATTGACTGAATGATGACAGATGTGTTTCTTATTTTCTAGGTTATCTTACTCTTGTTAGGAACAAGATCATGGCTGGAAGAATTGTACAACTAACTCACAAACTGGAAATAAGAACTAATCAGCTTACTACCTTACGTCACCTTAAGCAGCTAGTTTACCACTCCACCTTCCTACATTCCCCTGGCTCCTCCTGTGTGTACTATATTAATGATGTTGGCATTACAGGTAGAGGCACTCGTGACTATCCAGACTATGACACCAACCACTTTCTTGCACACTCATAATGGTCAGGCTATTTAACCTCTCTTATATCTCTCACCCTCTCTACTAAGAACCTTCCTTTTTTCCTTTTGTCTCTCGTTATCTCCTACTAACAACCTTCCTTTTGTCTCTCGTTATCTCCTACTAACAACCTTTCTTATCTCCTCGTTATCTCTTACTAACAAGCTTTCTTATCTCTCTCGTTCTCTCTACTCATACTTTCTTCTCTTCCTCTCTGCCAAAATCTTTTCGTTGTTCTATCCTAACCCACTTCTTACTCTCTCCATTCTTGTTCTGTTCTGGCCTAAAAAACATAAGACAAAATTTCTAGACGGTGTTCGGGTCCGTCGATGACTGAAGACTTGCAGAAATAGCTGGAAACTCATCTAGTTTTCATTACAACTTTGTGAGTTGGTCGTGTGAAGTGCATACACATTCACCTGGGTAGCAAAACAACTAATAGGAGGAGAGAGTTTGTATATACACTGTATTAGATCTCTGTTGACTCAGAGTTGACCGGGTTGTTTGATTAACAGGGCTTTCAGCCTATCTTATACACGGGGGCCATTAAAGGCTACACGTCACCTGTTCACCACCGGTCAAGAATACTTCAAGATTAGTTACTTCCCATTTAAGGCTAATTACCTCTCAATCAAGGCTAGTTACCTCTCGGTCAAGGCTAATGACTTCCCATTCATGGCTAGTTACCTTTTAATACCTTAAATATGGACTAAAGTAAACTCTCACTGTATATACACCCACAGACATATACTTCTCGTTGTATTATCCTATCCAGGTGATCAGTAGTCACTTGTTTATGTTATGTAAAAAAAAGGGCCGCTGAAGACAGGTGCGGGTCAGTGTTTGCAGTACCTGGGTAACAACTTCTAGTGTTTACGTAACATAAACACATTATTTGCAGAGAGATAAACTAGAGAATGGTTTGGATTGTTTGCCTTCATATTCACATCTAAACTGAATGACAAGGGGAAGATTGGTGGAATATAATAGAGAAACAAAGCTTCTAGCTCAATACGTAATTTTCCCAAAACAGTAGCAGCACACTGCTGATATATCTAATTATGCTTAAAAAAGACAGGTTTGAGTTAGCGTCTATAAGATACTTTTATTTTAGGTTAACTAAGTAACATTATATAAATGGCGCAAAAAAATAGTAAGGCCATTAGTGTATTGTAGGCCTACTGGCAGATGGCCTACGGCTTGGAAATGAGCCGAGGCAAGACAATATTGTTCTTGCCCTCTACATTCATTCACGGCAAAAAACATTTCTCAGCCTATAGACTGAACAGTATAAAAAAAAGTGCATGACAACAAGTGAGGTTGACTGTGGCTCACCTGGAGGTACTGGAATTCCTGCCAGCGGAGAGCCAGGGAGACGAGCCAGATGACCAGCGTCCTGACGGAGTCCAGGACCATCCTGGTGGTGGCAGAGATCTCCTTCGTCATACTCACACCGGCGAAGTTGAAGAACGCGATGCTTACTATGTTCACTGAGTGGAAAGATGATTGTTAATGAGTCGGAGAGATGAATGTTCACTGAGTGGAGAGATGACTAGTAGTGAGCCAGAGAGATGAATATTCACTGAATGGAGAGATGACTAATAGTGAGCCAGGGAGATGAATATTCACTGAATGGAGAGATGACTAATAGTGAGCCAGGGAGATGAATATTCACTGAGTGGAGAGAGATGGCTAGTAGTGAGCCAGGGAGATGACTAGTAGTGAGCCAGAGAGATGACTAGTAGTGAGCCAGAGAGATGACTAGTAGTGAGCCAGGGTTTTGATTAGTAGTGGGTCAGGGAGATGACTAGTAGTGAGTCAGGGAGATGACTAGTAGTGAGCCAGGGAGATGACTAGTAGTGAGTCAGGGAGATGACTAGTAGTGAGCCAGGGAGATAACTAGTAGTGAGTCAGGGAGATGACTAGTAGTGAGCCAGAGAGATGACTAGTAGTGAGTCAGAGAGATGACTAGTAGTGAGCCAGAGAGATGACTAGTAGTGAGCCATGGAGATGACTAGTAGTGAGTCACGGACATGACTAGTAGTGAGTCAGGGAGATGACTAGTAGTGAGCCAGGGAGATGACTAGTAGTGAGTCAGGGAGATGACTAGTAGTGAGTCAGGGAGATGACTAGTAGTGAGCCAGGGAGATGACTAGTAGTGAGACAGGGAGATGACTAGTAGTGAGCCAGAGAGATGACTAGTAGTGAGTCAGGGAGATGACTAGTAGTGAGCCAGGGAGATAACTAGTAGTGAGTCAGGAAGATGACTAGTAGTGAGTCAGGGAGATGACTAGTAGTGAGCCAGAGAGATGACTAGTAGTGAGCCAGGGAAATGACTAGTAGTGAGTCAGGGAGATGACTAGTAGTGTGTCAGGGAGATGACTAGTAGTGAACCAGGGAGATAACTAGTAGTGAGTCAGGGAGATGACTAGTAGTGAGTCAGGGAGATGACTAGTAGTGAGCCAGAGAGATGACTAGTAGTGAGCCAGCGAGATGACTAGTAGTGAGCCAGAAAGATGACTAGTAGTGAGCCAGGGAGATGAATGTTAACTGAGTGGAGAGATGACTAGTAGTGAGCCAGGGAGATGAATGTTAACTGAGTGGAGAGATGGCTAGTAGTGAGCCAGGGAGATGAATGTTAACTGAGTGGAGAGATGACTAGTAGTGAGCCAGGGAGATGACTAGTAGTGAGCCAGAGAGATGACTAGTAGTGAGCCAGGGAGATGAATGTTAACTGAGTGGAGAGATGACTAGTAGTGAGCCAGGGAGATGAATGTTAACTGAGTGGAGAGATGACTAGTAGTGAGCCAGGGAGATGAATGTTAACTGAGTGGAGAGATGACTAGTAGTGAGCCAGGGATCTGACTAGTAGTGAGCCAGAGAGATGACTAGTAGTGAGCCAGGGAGATGAATGTTAACTGAGTGGAGAGATGACTAGTAGTGAGCCAGGGAGATGAATGCTAACTGAGTGGAGAGATGACTTGTAGTGAGCCAGGGAGATGAATGTTAACTGAGTGGAGAGATGACTAGTAGTGAGCCAGGGAGATGAATGTTAATTGAGTGGAGAGATGACTAGTAGTGAACCAGGGAGATGACTAGTAGTGAGCCAGAGAGATGACTAGTAGTGAGCCAGGGAGATGAATGTTAACTGAGTGGAGAGATGACTAGTAGTGAGCCAGGGAGATGAATGTTAACTGAGTGGAGAGATGACTAGTAGTGAGCCAGGGAGATGAATGTTAACTGAGTGGAGAGATGACTAGTAGTGAGCCAGGGAGATGAATGTTAACTGAGTGGGGAGATGACTAGTAGTGAGCCAGGGAGATGAATGTTAATAGTGTGGAGAGACAACTAGTAGTGAGCCAAGGAGATGAATGTTAACAGTGTGGAGAGACAACTAGTAGTGAGTCAGGGAGATGAATGTTAACAGTGTGGAGAGAAAACTAGTAGTGAGTCAGGGAGATGAATGTTAACAGTGTGGAGAGACAACTAGTAGTGAGCCAGGGAGATGAATGTTAACAGTGTGGAGAGAAAACTAGTAGTGAGTCAGGGAGATGAATGTTAACAGTGTGGAGAGACAACTAGTAGTGAGTCAGGGAGATGAATGTTAACAGTGTGGAGAGACAACTAGTAGTGAGCCAGGGAGATGAATGTTAACAGTGTGGAGAGACAACTAGTAGTGAGTCAGGGAGATGAATGTTAAGAGCGTGGAGAGACAACTAGTAGTGAGTCAGGGAGATGAATGGTAAAAGTGTGGAGAGACAACTAGTAGTGAGTCAGGGAGATGAATGTTAACAGTGTGGAGAGACAACTAGTAGTGAGTCAGGGAGATGAATGTTAACAGTGTGGAGAGACAACTTGTAGTGAGTCAGGGAGATGAATGTTAACAGTGTGGAGAGACAACTAGTAGTGAGCCAAGGAGATGAATGTAAACAGTGTGGAGAGACAACTAGTAGTGAGTCAGGGAGATGGATGTTAACAGTGTGGAGAGACAACTAGTAGTGAGTCAGGGAGATGAATGTTAACAGTGTGGAGAGACAACTAGTAGTGAGTCAGGGAGATGAATGTTAACAGTGTGGAGAGATAACTAGTAGTGAGTCAGGGAGATGAATGTTAACAGTGTGGAGAGACAACTAGTAGTGAGCCAGGGAGATGAATGTTAACTGAGTGGAGAGATGACTAGTAGTGAGCCAGGGAGATGAATGTTAACTGAGTGGAGAGATGACTAGTAGTGAGCCAGGGAGATGAATGTTAACAGTGTGGAGAGACAACTAGTAGTGAGCCAAGGAGATGAATGTTAACAGTGTGGAGAGACAACTAGTAGTGAGTCAGGGAGATGAATGTTAACAGTGTGGAGAGATAACTAGTAGTGAGTCAGGGAGATGAATGTTAACAGTGTGGAGAGACAACTAGTAGTGAGTCAGGGAGATGAATGTTAACAGTGTGGAGAGACAACTAGTAGTGAGCCAGGGAGATGAATGTTAACTGAGTGGAGAGATGACTAGTAGTGAGCCAGGGAGATGAATGTTAACTGAGTGGAGAGATGACTAGTAGTGAGCCAGGGAGATGAATGTTAACAGTGTGGAGAGACAACTAGTAGTGAGCCAAGGAGATGAATGTTAACAGTGTGGAGAGACAACTAGTAGTGAGTCAGGGAGATGAATGTTAACAGTGTGGAGAGACAACTAGTAGTGAGTCAGGGAGATGAATGTTAACAGTGTGGAGAGACAACTAGTAGTGAGCCAGGGAGATGAATGTTAACAGTGTGGAGAGACAACTAGTAGTGAGCCAGGGAGATGAATGTTAACTGAGTGGAGAGATGACTTGTAGTGAGCTAGGGAGATGAATGTTAACTGAGTGGAGAGATGACTAGTAGTGAGCCAGGGAGATGAATGTTAACTGAGTGGAGAGATGACTAGTAGTGAGCCAGGGAGATGAATGTTAACTGAGTGGAGAGATGACTAGTAGTGAGCCAGGGAGATGAATGTTAACTGAGTGGAGAGATGACTAGTAGTGAGCCAGGGAGATGAATGTTAACTGAGTGGAGAGATGACTAGTAGTGAGCCAGGGAGATGAATGTTAACTGAGTGGAGAGATGACTAGTAGTGAGCCAGGGAGATGAATGTTAACAGTGTGGAGAGACAACTAGTAGTGAGCCAAGGAGATGAATGTTAACAGTGTGGAGAGACAACTAGTAGTGAGTCAGGGAGATGAATGTTAACAGTGTGGAGAGACAACTAGTAGTGAGTCAGGAAGATGAATGGTAACAGTGTGGAGAGACAACTAGTAGTGAGTCAGGGAGATGAATGTTAACAGTGTGGAGAGACAACTAGTAGTGAGTCAGGAAGATGAATGTTAACAGTGTGGAGAGACAACTAGTAGTGAGTCAGGGAGATGAATGTTAACAGTGTGGAGAGACAACTAGTAGTGAGTCAGGGAGATGAATGTTAACAGTGTGGAGAGACAACTAGTAGTGAGTCAGGGAGATGAATGTTAACAGTGTGGAGAGACAACTAGTAGTGAGCCAGGGAGATGAATGTTAACTGAGTGGAGAGATGACTTGTAGTGAGCCAGGGAGATGAATGTTAACTGAGTGGAGAGATGACTAGTAGTGAGCCAGGGAGATGAATGTTAACTGAGTGGAGAGATGACTAGTAGTGAGCCAGGGAGATGACTAGTAGTGAGCCAGAGAGATGACTAGTAGTGAGCCAGGGAGATGAATGTTAACTGAGTGGAGAGATGACTAGTAGTGAGCCAGGGAGATGAATGTTAACTGAGTGGAGAGATGACTAGTAGTGAGCCAGGGAGATGAATGTTAACTGAGTGGAGAGATGACTAGTAGTGAACCAGGGAGGAATGTTAACTGAGTGGAGAGATGACTAGTAGTGAGCCAGGGAATGAATGTTAACAGTGTGGAGAGACAACTAGTAGTGAGCCAAGGAGATGAATGTTAACAGTGTGGAGAGACAACTAGTAGTGAGTCAGGGAGATGAATGTTAACAGTGTGGAGAGACAACTAGTAGTGAGTCAGGGAGATGAATGTTAACAGTGTGGAGAGACAACTAGTAGTGAGCCAGCGAGATGAATGTTAACAGTGTGGAGAGACAACTAGTAGTGAGCCAGGGAGATGAATGTTAACTGAGTGGAGAGATGACTGTAGTGAGCCAGGGAGATGAATGTTAACTGAGTGGAGAGATGACTAGTAGTGAGCCAGGGAGATGAATGTTAACTGAGTGGAGAGATGACTAGTAGTGAGCCAGGGAGATGAATGTTAACTGAGTGGAGAGGTGACTAGTAGTGAGCTAGGGAGATGAATGTTAACTGAGTGGAGAGATGACTAGTAGTGAGCCAGGGAGATGAATGTTAACTGAGTGGAGAGATGACTAGTAGTGAGCCAGGGAGATGAATGTTAACTGAGTGGAGAGATGACTAGTAGTGAGCCAGGGAGATGAATGTTAACAGTGTGGAGAGACAACTAAGTGAGCCAAGGAGATGAATGTTAACAGTGTGGAGAGACAACTAGTAGTGAGTCAGGGAGATGAATGTTAACAGTGTGGAGAGACAACTAGTAGTGAGTCAGGGAGATGAATGTTAACAGTGTGGAGAGACAACTAGTAGTGAGCAGGGAGATGAATGTTAACAGTGTGGAGAGACAACTAGTAGTGAGTCAGGGAGATGAATGTTAACAGTGTGGAGAGACAACTAGTAGTGAGTCAGGGAGATGAATGTTAACAGTGTGGAGAGACAACTAGTAGTGAGTCAGGGAGATGAATGTTAACAGTGTGGAGAGACAACTAGTAGTGAGTCAGGGAGATGAATGTTAACAGTGTGGAGAGACAACTAGTAGTGAGTCAGGGAGATGAATGTTAACAGTGTGGAGAGACAACTAGTAGTGAGTCAGGGAGATGAATGTTAACAGTGTGGAGAGACAACTAGTAGTGAGTCAGGGAGATGAATGTTAACAGTGCGGAGAGACAACTAGTAGTGAGTCAGGGAGATGAATGTTAAGAGTGTGGAGAGACAACTAGTAGTGAGTCAGGGAGATGAATGTTAAGAGTGTGGAGAGACAACTAGTAGTGAGTCAGGGAGATGAATGTTAACAGTGTGGAGAGACAACTAATAGTGAGCCAAGGAGATGAATGTTAACAGTGTGGAGAGACATCTAGTAGTGAGTCAGGGAGATGAATGTTAACAGTGTGGAGAGACAACTAGTAGTGAGTCAGGGAGATGAATGTTAACAGTGTGGAGAGACAACTAGTAGTGAGCCAGGGAGATGAATTTTAACAGTGTGGAGAGACAACTAGTAGTGAGTCAGGGAGATGAATATTAACAGTGTGGAGAGACAACTATTAGTGAGCCAGGGAGATGAATGTTAACAGTGTGGAGAGACAACTAGTAGTGAGTCAGGGAGATGAATGTTAACAGTGTGGAGAGACAACTAGTAGTGAGTCAGGGAGATGAATGTTAACAGTGTGGAGAGACAACTAGTAGTGAGTCAGGGAGATGAATGTTAACAGTGTGGAGAGACAACTAGTAGTGAGTCAGGGAGATGAATGTTAACAGTGTGGAGAGACAATTAGTAGTGAGTCAGGGAGATGAATGTTAACAGTGTGGAGAGACAACTAGTAATGAGTCAGGGAGATGAATGTTAACAGTGTGGAGAGACAACTAGTAGTGAGTCAGGGAGATGAATGTTAACAGTGTGGAGAGACAACTAGTAGTGAGTCAGGGAGATGAATGTTAACAGTGTGGAGAGACAACATAGTAGTGAGTCAGGGAGATGAATGTTAACAGTGTGGAGAGACAACTAGTAGTGAGTCAGGGAGATGAGTGTTAACTGAGTGGAGAGACAACTAGTAATGAGCCAGGGAGATGAATGTTAACAGTGTGGAGAGACAACTATTAGTGAGTCAGGGAGATGAATGTTAACAGTGTGGAGAGACAACTAGTAGTGATCCAGGGAGATGAATGTTAACAGTGTGGAGAGACAACTAGTAGTGAGTCAGGGAGATGAATGTTAACTGAGTGGAGAGACAACTAGTAGTGAGTCAGGGAGATGAATGTTAACTCAGTGGAGAGACAACTAGTAGTGAGTCAGGGAGACAACTAGTAGTGAGCCAGGGAGACAACCAGTAGTGAGCCAGGGAGAAACTAGTAGTGAGCCAGGGAGACAACTAGTAGTGAGCCAGGGAGACAACCAGTAGTGAGTCAGGGAGAGAACTAGTAGTGAGCCAGGGAGACAACTAGTAGTGAGCCAGGGAGACAACCAGTAGTGAGTCAGGGAGACAACTAGTAGTGAGCCAGGGAGACAACTAGTAGTGAGTCAGGGAGACAACTAGTAGTGAGCCAGGGAGACAACCAGTAGTGAGCCAGGGAGAGAACTAGTAGTGAGCCAGGGAGGCAACTAGTAGTGAGCCAGGGAGACAACCAGTAGTGAGTCAGGGAGAGAACTAGTAGTGAGCCAGGGAGACAACTAGTAGTGAGCCAGGGAGACAACCAGTAGTGAGTCAGGGAGAGAACTAGTAGTGAGCCAGGGAGACAACCAGTAGTGAGTCAGGGAGAGAACTAGTAGTGAGCCAGGGAGACAACCAGTAGTGAGTCAGGGAGAGAACTAGTAGTGAGCCAGGGAGACAACCAGTAGTGAGTCAGGGAGAGAACTAGTAGTGAGTCAGGGAGAGAACTAGTAGTGAGCCAGGGAGACAACCAGTAGTGAGTCAGGGAGAGAACTAGTAGTGAGTCAGGGAGACAAGTAGTAGTGAGCCAGGGAGGAACACATCACACCTTCAGGTTCCTACAAGAAGTACTCTTGTTTTAGTACATTTGTAGTACATTTAAAATTGAATAGCTTTTTAACTACGCAGTTTTGCATGCATTTTTTCAAGCATATCTACCAAAAAATGCACTCTATACAAGATCCATAATTCGGGATTTTTCTGCAGGCAGAAAATAATTATAAGAGTCTGAAAACGAGCAACATAGATATGACATAAAATACTGAGAAATTTTGTAAAAAGAGAAGTAGTGTTAATAGATTTTATTAGGGACTGAAGCAGTCATTCGTGGCGAAACGTTCCTTCAGCGAAACATCGTAACACTACACATGTGACTAATTCCATACAGATTATTATTATTAGTCATGAGAGAGCACTAAACCCATAGGGGTCATACAATGCCTAGGGATAATGGAAGACATTGAAGCTTGATTCCAGGAATTGAAGCTGTGGTCCAATTCCACAGCTCAAGAGCCCCTCACCAACATCAAGGAACCTTCTCTGATGGGACTTCACACAGAAAAAACAACTGGCAGTGGTGTGGATCTTACGAACGATGGCGGCCACCAGGACACCGCTGTTGGCGAGCTGGATGAAAGCATCTACGGCGTCTTCCAACACTCCTCGCTGGTTGCCGCTGAACTTCCCCGCGGGGATGAAGTACATAGGCACCAGCAACACAGTCAGCGTCAGGAACCCGAAGACTCCTGCAGGATACAAGAGTTGTTGGTTAGGTTAGTTTAGGAACAGGACAAGACATAGGCACCAGCAACACAGTCAGCGTCAGGAACCCGAAGACTCCTGCAGGATACAAGAGTTGTTGGTTAGGTTAGTTTAGGAAACAGGACAAGACATAGGCACCAGCAACACAGTCAGCGTCAGGAACCCGAAGACTCCTGCAGGATACAAGAGTTGTTGGTTAGGTTAGTTTAGGAAACAGGACAAGACATAGGCACCAGCAACACAGTCAGCGTCAGGAACCCGAAGACTCCTGCAGGATACAAGAGTTGTTGGTTAGGTTAGTTTAGGAAACAGGACAAGACATAGGCACCAGCAACACAGTCAGCGTCAGGAACCCGAAGACTCTGCAGGATCAAGAGTTGTTGGTTAGTTAGTTTAGGAAACAGGACAAGACAAGGCACCATCAAACAGTCAGCGTCAGGAACCGAAGATCCTGCAGGATACAAGAGTTGTTGGTTAGGTTAGTTTAGGAAACAGGACAAGACATAGGCACCAGCAACACAGTCAGCGTCAGGAACCCGAAGACTCCTGCAGGATACAAGAGTTGTTGGTTAGGTTAGTTTAGGAAACAGGACAAGACATAGGCACCAGCAACACAGTCAGCGTCAGGAACCCGAAGACTCCTGCAGGATACAAGAGTTGTTGGTTAGGTTAGTTTAGGAAACAGGACAAGACATAGGCACCAGCAACACAGTCAGCGTCAGGAACCCGAAGACTCCTGCAGGATACAAGAGTTGTTGGTTAGGTTAGTTTAGGAAACAGGACAAGACATAGGCACCAGCAACACAGTCAGCGTCAGGAACCCGAAGACTCCTGCAGGATACAAGAGTTGTTGGTTAGGTTAGTTTAGGAAACAGGACAAGACATAGGCACCAGCAACACAGTCAGCGTCAGGAACCCGAAGACTCCTGCAGGATACAAGAGTTGTTGGTTAGGTTAGTTTAGGAAACAGGACAAGACATAGGCACCAGCAACACAGTCAGCGTCAGGAACCCGAAGACTCCTGCAGGATACAAGAGTTGTTGGTTAGGTTAGTTTAGGAAACAGGACAAGACATAGGCACCAGCAACACAGTCAGCGTCAGGAACCCGAAGACTCCTGCAGGATACAAGAGTTGTTGGTTAGGTTAGTTTAGGAAACAGGACAAGACATAGGCACCAGCAACACAGTCAGCGTCAGGAACCCGAAGACTCCTGCAGGATACAAGAGTTGTTGGTTAGGTTAGTTTAGGAAACAGGACAAGACATAGGCACCAGCAACACAGTCAGCGTCAGGAACCCGAAGACTCCTGCAGGATACAAGAGCTGTTGGTTAGGTTAGTTTAGGAAACAGGACAAGACAGGCACCAGCAACACAGTCAGCGTCAGGAACCCGAAGACTCCTGCGGGATACAAGAGCTGTTGGTTAGGTTAGTTTAGGAAACAGGACAAGACAGGCACCAGCAACACAGTCAGCGTCAGGAACCCGAAGACTCCTGCGGGATACAAGAGTTGTTGGTTAGGTTAGGTTAGGTTAGGAAACAGGACAAGACATAGGCACCAGCAACACAGTCAGCGTCAGGAACCCGAAGACTCCTGCAGGATACAAGAGTTGTTGGTTAGGTTAGTTTAGGAAACAGGACAAGACATAGGCACCAGGAACACAGTCAGCGTCAGGAACCCGAAGACTCCTGCGGGATACAAGAGTTGTTGGTTAGGTTCGTGTAGGAAGCAGGACAAGTATATTAACGTTGGTAAATTACCCACAGTGTTAGGTAAAAGGATACAAGTACAATTAATGTGACATTTTATTGTGGCAACGTTTCGCTCTCCATGAGCTTTGTAACGGCTTGACAAAGCTCCTGGAGAGCGAAACGTTGCCACAATAAAATGTCACATTAGTTGCACATGTGTCACTTTTCCAGGACAGGAGTTTCTTAAAGTGGGTCTTAGTCATATGATGACCAAGCTGGAGCTTTTGGTCATCTGACCGATTCCTTCCGCTGGCTGACCTGTCCACCCCTTTAAAAATTAGTTTTATTATTACTTTTCTAAGTTGTTGGTCGTCCAGGGCAGCGAGCTTCCAGGTTATGTTCACTGGGATGACAAGCTGACAAGCTGACAAGCTTATATACAGACACAGTACAGACACAGCTTCGCTCAAAAGTGAGCTTTATAAAGCTCACTTGTGAGTGAAATGTTTAAATTAAAGTCTTGGTCTGAGAAGTCATGGAAGACCGGAAGGTCGGTTAGGGTTCGAAAATGAATTCCTCTGAACACTTCTTGCGCGTGGAAGCAGCCGCTTTGTAATTTGTTTGGACAAGTGAAAATAACTGGGCAATAATAAGTCCTATAGGTGAGCTCCTTGATGCTGAAGGGCTCTTGATTCAAAGAATTAAAACTATCACCAGCATTCCCAGGATCAAACATGATTACCTCCCATATCCCAGGTGCTTTACAAACACCAATTGAAATAAGTCGCTTTTCTGGCCTTTTTTTTTATTGTCTTCGGTAATCTACACATATGCTGCTATGTATGATAATTTATGTAACTGTATTTTATGTGTAAATGTACCTAAATAAACTTATTAACCCCCAGAGGAATTAGTAAGTCCGACCCTGTCCTCCCGAGCCCCACCAGTTATGATATTCATGTACTGCTAGCCCCGACCAGTCATGTACTGCTAGCCCCTACCAGTCATGTACTGCTAGCCCCTACCAGTCATGTACTGCTAGCCCCTACCAGTCATGTACTGCTAGCCCCTACCAGTCATGTACTGCTAGCCCCGACCAGTCATGTACTGCTAGCCCCGACCAGTCATGTACTGCTAGCCCCTACCAGTCATGTACTGCTAGCCCCTACCAGTCATGTACTGCTAGCCCCTACCAGTCATGTACTGCTAGCCCTGACTAGTCATGTACTACTAGCCCCGACTAGTCATGTACTGCTATCCCTGACCATTCATGTACTGCTAGCCCCTACCAGTCATGTACTGCTAGCCCCTACCAGTCATGTACTGCTAGCCCCGACTAGTCATGTACTACTAGCCCCGACTAGTCATGTACTGATATCCCCGACCAATCATGTACTGCTAGCCCCGACTAGTCATGTACTACTAGCCCCGACTAGTCATGTACTGCTATCCCCGACCAGTCATGTACTGCTATCCCTGACCATTCATGTACTGCTAGCCCCTACCAGTCATGTACTGCTAGCCCCTACCAGTCATGTACTGCTAGCCCCTACCAGTCATGTACTGCTAACCCCGACCAGTCATGTACTGCTAGCCCCGACCAATCATGCACTGCTAGTCTCGACCAGTCATGTACTGCTAGCCCCGACCAATCATGTACTGCTAGTCTCGACCAGTCATGTACTGCTAGCCCCGACCAATCATGCACTGCTAGTCTCGACCAGTCATGTACTGCTAGCCCCGACCAATCATGTACTGCTAGTCTCGACCAGGCATGTACTGTTAGCCCCGACCAGTCATGTACTACTGATGTCACACAACTTTGCTGTTGGTCTAGATGCAGTTCTGTTCCCTTACATTATAACCTTCCTCTCCTCCCACTGCTCGTTGCGTCCTACCTTGGACTTAGTCTAGTCTAGCTAGACTAAGTCCAATCATATTTTGCTCATGAACTAATTCTCTTAATTTAAGAATGGGATTAGGATGGATGTCAACACTATAGCCACATTGTGTTGATTGGGTACAAATAACAGGATTGGAGAATAATCACGTCTGTTCGGTATATGGAAATAAGGAAACGGAAAATGTTGGTACGTTATAATGTGTGGAGGTGACGATAATGGGACTACAGGCTTGGCTAAAATTAGGTGTGAGGGGCGGGTGCTGTGGGGATAGTGTGGGAGTAAAAGAAAGGTAGTGTGGGTGTGGGCGGCGTGATGCACCCACGGACATACCTTCCCAGCCAACAGCCAGTAAGGGCGGCACGTTGTACTTGGTTAACAACCTCTCCTCGACCACCATCTGCGTTGCTGATATTATTTGAGCCATCACGATGAGCAGGTCTCCTGCGCCGGAAGAGTCGTTATACAGCTGTAGGATACATGATTTAGTAACGGTATTGTACAGCAAAGCCCCGTTATACAGCTGTAGGATACATGATTTAGTAATTGTAATGTACAGCAGATATCTGTTATACAGCTGTAGGAGACATGATTTAGTAACAGGAATGTACAGTAAAGCCCCGTTATACAGCTGTAGGATACATAACTTGCTTATAAGACAGCAATGATCCAACAGAATGTTATTCCCAGAAGCGCAGAAGGATTTTTTCTCACCCGTGATGATGCCGTTGATGTCACTGGTGTCCTCGGAGGAGCTCAAGAAGTCAGAGAGGCCAACTACCACCAGCCCAGCGAGGACAGTGACGATACCCAGCCAGTGGAAGTACCGGAGATGTCTGCCCAGGAAGGCCACAGAGAGGAACCCAGTAAAGACGATCACAGCGCCTGAGAAAGCACAGATTCACTTAATGCGAAATAATCTAACATTGGAAAACAGAAAAGACAATGTCACGATATAGGGATTGTTATAACTTCTGTATGGAATTCTGGGGATTCGAATTGATTAGATTTTTGCCTTTCAAGCTGCTAGTTTATTGTGGCTCAAGTGGTAGCACTTATGGCTCAAAGCTGAAGCACCTACGTTCGAATCCGGGGACCAGAACACCTTGGTGTACCGTGCAGTGTTACGCACCTCTGAGCATCTGGAAGGAGCTGGCGTAAGTGAGGGTGAGACCAACGTACATCAAAGAGGTGGCTGTCATATCACAGACAGCTGGTAGATAGAACACTAGACGAGGGAACGAGGGTGGCTGTCAGGCCACACACGCGCCAACACACGTGAAAAAAAATGAAACAAATATTAACTAAACTTAAATACCTTTTGAGATTTCGCTTGCTCACAGACACGTCTTCAATCTACACACACACAGCATCATCATCTGACGATGTGTGCGCCTAAAGCGGCCTACGTATTATAAAATTTGCTGACTAGGCTTATAGACACAATTATAACTGCAAGGCAGGTAGTGTATTGCATATTTTTTCACAATAATCTTGTAAGTCAATCATGCACACCATTTATTTTTTATTTATTTATTTATTTATTTCCAATTTGTGCACACATACAGAGGTACAAAAAAAATACAGATAAGAGCAGTATGCCAAAGCCACTTATACTATGCATAGCATTACGGGCTGGCTTAAAATTAACTTAAGATTAACTAAGCAATGATTATTATTATTATTATAATCAAAAAGAAGCGCTAAGCCACAAGGACTATACAGCGCTGCTACTAAGCAATGATGAAATCAGTGATAAAACATTAATGTAAACAGATAACTATAAAGCACAAGTGAGTATTACAAAGACAGGTCATATGGTTGCATTCAGTTAGGTAGTGAAGTGAAGTGAAGTGAAAAAATACCTTATTAACATTAAACAATCCTAAGTCAAATTAAAGTTAGTTTAAGTTACGAGAAATTAAGCGAAATAACAATACACAAAATTTAGAAAGGTTGGCATAGACTGCTAAGTTAATGCAGATGCAACATTAAAATGGTATACACTGTTAATGTGGCAATATATATCATTGCATGAAAGAGATAGAGAGTGAGAGAGATATAGATATATAGATAGATAGAGATGTATACAGATAGACAAAGAGTTACCGGATCGGTGTAGGGAGCCATTTCTATGGTATGTCCGTGTGATCTACGGAAGAGCGCCAACTGAAGATAGAATGTCACCATACCTGAAACATCAACAATATCTGTACCTCTCTCTCTCTCTCTCTCTCTCTCTCTCTCTCTCTCTCTCTCTCTCTCTCTCTCTCTCTCTCTCTCTCTCTCTCTTTTACACAGGGTTTTACAAAATTGGGTTAAGGTTCCTAATTTTATTTATAAGCTAAGAGATGTTACCTACATCAGCTCATCCGGAAGCCTTGACACTGGGCATGTTTCTTCACACCTGCTGCCCCTGTTCACCTAGCGGTACAGTCAGTAGGTACCTGGGTATTAGCCGACTGTTGTGGGTGGCATCCTGGGATGGTAGTATACCCTAGATTGAGCTGAACTTTAGAACTGAGCTGAGGTAGGATAAGAACTCTTAGCTTGTTAATTGAGCTGAGGTAGGATAACTGTTAGCTTGTTAACTGAGCTGAGGTAGGATAACAACTCTTAGCTTGTTAACTGAGCTGAGGTAGGATAACTGTTAGCTTGTTAACTGAGCTGAGGTAGGATAACTCTTTGCTTGTTAATTGAGCTGAGGTAGGATAACAACTCTTTGCTTGTTAATTGAGCTGAGGTAGGATAACAACTCTTTGCTTGTTAATTGAGCTGAGGTAGGATAACAACTCTTTGCTTGTCAATGGAGCTGAGGTAGGATAACTGTTAGCTTGTTAACTGAGCTGAGGTAGGATAACAACTCTTTGCTTGTTAACTGAGCTGAGGTAGGATAACAACTCTTTGCTTGTTAACTGAGCTGAGGTAGGATAACAACTCTTTGCTTGTTAATTGAGCTGAGGTAGGATAACAACTCTTTGCTTGTTAACTGAGCTGAGGTAGGATAACAACTCTTTGCTTGTTAACTGAGCTGAGGTAGGATAACTGTTAGCTTGTTAATTGAGCTGAGGTAGGATAACAACTCTTTGCTTGTTAACTGAGCTGAGGTAGGATAACAACTCTTTGCTTGTTAACTGAGCTGAGGTAGGATAACAACTCTTTGCTTGTTAACTGAGCTGAGGTAGGATAACAACTCTTTGCTTGTTAACTGAGCTGAGGTAGGATAAGAACTCTGCTTGTTAATTAAGCTGAGATAGAATAACTCCTAGCTGTAATTTGAAATGAGGCAGGATAACAGCTCCTAGCCTGTAATGAACCGAAGTATGACAAGGATTCCTAGCCTGTTGAGGTAGGATAACAGCGCTCTTAACCAACAAACTGAAGGATGTAAAAGACTTACACAGCATCTCTCCCATAAACATGGTGTCAGCCTGGAAGAAAGGATGGTTGAAGGCGACCTTGTTGCCCTCCCTGTTCACTGACTGGATAAGGTCCGCCCACCTACAACAAAATTTGATAAGTGAGACACATGTGCAACAGTTAGGTATCTTTATTCCGAAACGTTTCGCAGTAGGCTTCATCAGTCGAGTACAGAGGAGTTTGCAGAAGCAGTAGAGATGTGAAGACGATGTAGTCGGTCCATTATCCTTGAGGCCGTAGTTTTGAGGTGGTCAGTCCCTCAATATGGAGAAGATGGGACTAGAAGAGTGCACAGTGAAAGGTGAACGACAGAACGAGACAGACAAATATGAGAAGGAACTTTTTTAAAGTCACGGTAGTGAGTGGAACACTATAAGAGGAGGTAGTGGAGGCAACATGAGGGTAGTGAGTGGAACACTATAAGAGGAGGTAGTGGAAGCAACATGAGGGTAGTGAGTGGAACACTATAAGAGGAGGTAGTGGAGGCAACATGAGGGTAGTGAGTGGAACACACCATAAAAGGCAGTGGAGGCTACATGAAGGTGGTGAGTAAGTGGAACACTGTAACAGAAGGTAGTGGTGGTAATATCAACTCATACAATCTAAATTAAATAAGAGAAGACACATGATAAAGCAGATCAACTCACTTGGCAGATAGTGTATTGATGGAGCCAGTGATGACCATCACAAAAGCCAGGATGAACTGCTTGCTCGTCCACGCCATCTTAAACCTCTTCCTCAAGGGTTGTGGCTCCTTAAGATGTAATTCTGGATTTTACACTAATAGTTAAGCTCGGGTTTCATTCCTCTCTAGGACGGGTTGATGAAGTTAGTTTTCGGGGACAGTCATGCAGATGTTACTGTCTTCATGGACAGTATATTCGCTAACCGGTGAGGTTTCCTCATCTGATCCTTCTTAAATGTAGTATACTGAATCAGATAACTTCTGAAATGGTTTTAATCATAGAATAACAATGTACAATTTTGACTGAAGCTCTCGGTCACAGGATGTTGTTTATCTCTTGAGTGTAGTGCCGTGGAGGATTATTTCATGATTATGTTACTAACTATTTGGTTGTTGAGGAAAGCAGGGCAGTACGGGAATTACTTGTATCTCTGGCAGAAATTTTATTGACTCTGGCAGACAATGGGTTGCCTAGTGACAAATGCTTCTCCTGGAAGATGTTACTGGATGTCGTAGCAAATAAACGATTACATATAATGAGAACGATGGAAGGGAGAACTGCTTGTGGCAGTTCTATTGATATCGATGAAAAGCAGGATCTCCAAGCAAGTGGAGAGAGGAGGCGCTTGGAACAAGTGGTTAGAAGAAGGGAGGCGATGTTTCTCAATGTTTCGCTGAAGTTAGTCAATGCAAAACGAGATTGGAAGACACAGTAACAGAATGGTAAGGAAGAACGCTCACTTGATAAATACTTCTCGCAGAAGGAACACGAACAAGACAGGAAACTGATCAACGGCAGCACGGATTGTTAGACAGATTTCTGTCAACAAAACTTTGTGGTCTTCGCGAACCTTTAACTGAAGTTTCAATAGTTAACCTCACCAAGATTCTATAAATATTAACAGTAGGCCACAACAATATTAAATTACTACAAAGACCTTTCTATTAAAGAAGCAGCAATATCAACAGAACAGTCCGCCGTAACATCAAAAGTAGCGTCAGAAGAGTCAAGTTAGAGCACTAATCCAGCAGACACCTGTCGCAGCAGCGTCTGTCGTAACAGCATCATCAAAAGCAAAAATGAATGCCACCACCTAGCAGCGGAGCTGGCGCAACAGCAGCAGCAGTAGTGCCCGCAGCAGTAGGAAAAATGTAGTAATCTCCAACAGAAGGCCCGTCTAAGCCAGCACTCAGGGAACCTACTTCCTCCCTGACACAAGTGATGGGATGTCACACCTGATGCCGGTGTTGGGCATTCTCACCGCTTGTTACGCCCCCTTCGTTATCAAACCTTACACCACCTCTTGTTTCAGGCTGATGTTGTTGTAGTTGTTGTTATTGTTATTGTTGTTGCTACTGCCATTTCTCTACTACTTACTACAGTTGCACTCATCTCCCATAAAGCTAAAACCAATGAAGAAATAATATCATATATATGTGTGTGTACGGCAGTAATATCCATGGCAGTGGTGTTGGTAAAACAATATGTACAATATAATCACTAGAGACAACATTTCTTATCACTGTATCTTCGATTTACCGTCAATTGTCTTCTATACATTTATCTATTTAAAAAACATGTAATAGATAAAATTCTTTGTCAATAAATCGACTACTGACTTGTAGTGCTTATGTACACTATTACTGTTGTATTATGTACACTCTTATTGTTGTATTATGTACACTCTTATTGTTGTATTATGTACACTCTTATTGTTGTATTATGTACACTCTTATTGTTGTATTATGTACACTCTTACTGTTGTATTATGTACACTCTTATTGTTGTATTATGTACACTCTTATTGTTGTATTATGTACACTCTTATTGTTGTATTATGTACACTCTTACTGTTGTATTATGTACACTCTTATTGTTGTATTATGTACACTCTTACTGTTGTATTATGTACACTCTTATTGTTGTATTATGTACACTCTTATTGTTGTATTATGTACATTAATAGTATTGTTGTATTTCTTACATAGAAAAGTTTAATATTTTTACTTTGGTATCACTGTATATACATTCATATAAACGTTGAAGAGTTTACCTGGAGAGAGTTCCGGGGGTCAACGCCCCCGCGGCCCGGTCTGTGACCAGGCCTCCTTGAGGTAAGAGCAAATAAACAAGAACAAGAACTAGAAAGAAAATAGAAGAAACCCCAAAGGGGTGTGTATATATATGCTTGTACATGTATGTGTAGTGTGACCTAAGAGTATATATAATATCTACACCGATGGCTTATTTCACTCAATATATATATTGAGAGTTTCTGTTTATCTCTATTTTAGGTAGCAAAGTATAGTCTTAACTAGTGTTGAACAGTGACTTGCAGCCTCATCACTTTAATGTAGTCGATAGGCTTTAAACCCCATTAACCATCCTGGGCAGCAGATCAATACGGAAGGCAGAAGTTAGCATAGGTTAGGTTAGGTTAGGTTAGGTTAGGTTAGGTTAGGTTTGGTTAGGTTAGATTAGGTTAGGTTAGGTTAGGTTAGGTTAGGTTAGGTTAGGTTAGGTTAGGTTAGGTTAGGCTAGGTTAGGTTAGGTTAGATTAGGTTAGGTTAGGATGGGTTAGGATAGGTTAGGTTAGGATAGGTTAGGTTAGGTTCGGTATGATTTGTCAGGAAACAGGACAAGTGTTTCCTGACGCGGGTCTTAGTCATATGATGATCCACAGTTGGAGCTTTTGGTCATCTGACCGAGGCCTTCCACTGGCTTACCCCTCCACCCCTTTAAAAATTCTGGAATTAGAGTTTCCATAATACTTGTTGTAATTAGCATTAGATTAGACATCGGTCAAAGAAAGGAAGATAGGCTTACGGAGGCCTACACCTCCTGGTGTAGGCCTCGGTGTACATACACTTGAGATATTAATTATCCTCTTCAAAATAAGTATATTGCTATCCTCTGGCGAGTCAAAAAGTCAAATTAAAATGATATATTTTATTTTTAAAATATTACACAAAAAATAAGTATAGAGAATTGGATAGCTTGGAGTATACCTGGAGAGAGTTCCGGGGGTCAACGCCCCTGAGGCCCGGTCTGTGACCAGGCCTCATGGTGGATCAGAAACTGATCAACCAGGATTTTACTGTAGATGAATGGTTCAGAGAACCGACATGTTGATAAATTAGACACATGTGCAACTCTTGGGTATCTTTATTGAGGAAACGTTTCGCCACACAGTGGCTTCATCAGTCCATACATAGGAGAAACTTGAAGAACAGGAGGAGAATGAGGTAATCAGTCCCTCAACCTTGAGTCGATGTGTTCAGTCCATCAGTCTTGAGTAGAATACGGCATATGAGCGGAGAAGCAGTTTATAAACCGTATGGCAGGAGAGGTGCAGCAGTCATAGGTGGTGTCACATTTGTTCAATGTGGAAGTAGGTCGTGCCCAAGAATTAGGCAAGCGAAGAATTCCTAAGTATTAAGATTCCAAGAAGTTGCAGTGTCTGACAGGTTTGTAGATGAATGGTGCAGAGAACCGGCATGTTGATAAATTAGACACATGTGCAACTCAAGATTGATGGACTGAACACATCGACTCAAGGTTGAGGGACTGATTACCTCATTCTCCTCCTGTTCTTCAAGTTTCTCCTATGTATGGACTGATGAAGCCACTGTGTGGCAAAACGTTTCCTCAATAAAGATACCCAAGAGTTGCACATGTGTCTAATTCATCATCAGGATTTTACTGTTGGCCATACGGACCACAGCCTGGCTGGTCAGGTACTGACTTTAGATGCCTTCTTGAAGACAGCCAGGGGTCTATTGGTAATCCCTCTTATGTATGCTGGGAGGCAGTTGAACAGTCTTGGGCCCCTGACACTTATTGTGTTGTCTCTTATCGTGCTAGTGGCAATTCTGCTTTTCATTTTCTACACGTACATGTACAAGGTATACAGGTCCAGCTGACATCACTGACATACTATATAGACAGCCACTAGTTATGCAGAGCATTTCTGGCAAATTAGATCAATTTTACCCCCAGGATGCGACCCACACCGGTCGACTAACACCCAGGTACCTATTTGAGTGACAGGTGAACATGGACAGCAGGTGTCTTAAGAAAACACGTCCTAATGTTTCCACCCGTACCGGGGATCGAACCACGGACCTCAGTGTGTGAGCTGAATGCCCTATAATCAGACTTTAACAACAGTAAAATTGAACCTTCAGTGGAGATGCCTTGATGATGGTGAAAGGGCTCTTAATCCAAGGAATTATAGCTCCAATTCCTCGTATCAAACATGGCTATCTCCCATTCTCACGCGCTGCAGACACAGTTAAATCTTCCCCAGAATGTTATAACATAACATTGTTATTACTGTAGACATGACAACTGAAAACTATATGAGTCTAAGATTAACCGAGACCTATTACAGCCTATCAGGTGATAGGCCTATGAGAGCCTGGAAGGTAATAGGCCTATAAGAGCCTTGCAGGTGGCAGACCTATGGGAACTTGGCAAGTGACTGGTCTATAAGATAAGCTTATGAGAGCCTAGTAGGCGGTAGACCTATGAAATTCTGGCAGGCGATAGACCTATTAGAGCCTGGCAGGACTGTTTTTAAATTGTCCTACTCAGACAATATTCTACATCCGAAGTTTCCTATAACCGACCAATTTATTAACCAGGAGCTGTTATCCTCAGCCTACTTCTAGGCCTAGTCTTATTTCAAAATACACTACTCCCATCCCCAGGATGCCTACCACAACAGTCAGCTATCACCCAGACTTTTTTTTTAATATTTGGACGTTTCAAAGTAGTTGGAGGCATTTTTTTGCATCAGATTTTAGCTAAAATATGAAGATTATCAAACTTTTAGGTAAGACACATATGCAACAGTTAGGTATCTTTATTATGAAACGTTTCGCCTACACAGTAGGCTTCTTCAGTCAAGTACAGAAAAGTTGATAGAAGCAGAAGATACTTGAAGACGATGTAATCAGTCCATCACCCTTAAAGTTTTGAGGTGGTCAGTCCCTCAGTCTGGAGAAGAGCATTGTTCCATAGTATGAAACAATATGGAGATGAAGTGACAGGATGGAGCTTTTTATAGCGCCAAGAGGTGAGACGTAGGCCACTAGGAGAGGTAAGAACTCATATGTTGATAGGTCAGGTCCCTCTCAAATCCAGCCGCTCTCACTAGTGGAAGTTGTCGAAGTTGATTGCAGGTCTGTACCAAGATACCCTTGTGTTGCAGTGTCTGACAGATTGAACATTAAAATGGTATAAAATACCGACAGGTTGTTAGGTAAGACACATATGCAACAGTTAGGTATCTTTATTATGAAACGTTTCGCCTACACAGTAGGCTTCTTCAGTCAAGTACAGAAAAGTTGATAGAAGCAGAAGATACTTGAAGACGATGTAATCAGTCCATCACCCTTAAAGTTTTGAGGTGGTCAGTCCCTCAGTCTGGAGAAGAGCATTGTTCCATAGTATGAAACAATATGGGGTCTGGAGAAGAGCATTGTTCCATAGTATGAAACAATATTCATACTATGGAACAATGCTCTTCTCCAGACTGAGGGACTGACCACCTCAAAACTTTAAGGGTGATGGACTGATTACATCGTCTTCAAATATCTTCTGCTTCTATCAACTTTTCTGTACTTGACTGAAGAAGCCTACTGTGTAGGCGAAACGTTTCATAATAAAGATACCTAACTGTTGCATATGTGTCTTACCTAACAACCTGTCTGTATTTTATACCATTTTAATGTTCAATCAAACTTTTAATTGAAAATGATGATTATTTACGATTTATTGGACTATTTCCTGCTTACTGCTGAGTTAGCTTAGGGTGTCCCATGGCCTAGTTGGTAACGCTCTTGTCTGACACATCGAGTGTCCGTGGTTCGATCCCCGACACGGGTGGTAGTACTGGACGTGTTTCCTTACACCTGCTGTCCCTGTTCACCTAGCAGTAAGTAGGTACCTGGATGTTAGTCACCTTACACCTGCTGTCCGTGTTCTCCTAGCAGTAAGTAGGCACCTGGATGTTAGTCACCTTACACCTGCTGTCCGTGTTCTCCTAGCAGTAAGTAGGCACCTGGATGTTAGTCACCTTACACCTGCTGTCCCTGTTCTCCTAGCAGTAAGTAGGTACCTGGATGTAAGTCACCTTACACCTGCTGTCCCTGTTCTCCTAGCAGTAAGTAGGTACCTGGATGTAAGTCACCTTACACCTGCTGTCCCTGTTCTCCTAGCAGTAATTAGGTACCTAGGTGTT